TCGCATTGTGCAGCCTGTCAATCAATCCAATTGGGCAAAACATAACTACATTGACAGACGGTGTGTGGCATCAGGGCAGAGGCTGTAGCCAAATACAGACTTAACAATATGTATGTTTCTAATTTTATACTCCCCTAAATGTGAATTACAAACCAAAGGTGTCCTCCGCCCAACGACAGCTCACTGCGGTTGGACCGAATCACTGTCAGGACAAACAGCAGAGGGAGGGACTCCCAGTACCTTCAGCGAGGTATTTCATCTCAGAGTACTTTCTCAGAGTACTTTTCTCAGAGTACTCATCCCAGAGTACTCTCACTTTTACACCTGTTCAATAAAGCTTGTTATCTTTGAATCTCTAGTACTTACACCGTATGCTGTTGACAAAAAATAATTATTCCATGATCACATTAAAACATTACAGAAAACTTTTGTTATTCCATTCTCCGTTCAGCATTCCTCATTTCACTCCTCAGTTCACTCCACAACACACTCACAACACACTCACAACACCCCACGTTAGTATTGGTCCAGTTTGTTAAGGTCAACGTAGTGTATTTGACATGACGCACAAACATATAACATACACAAACATATAACATACACAAACATATAACATACACAAACATATAACACACACAAACATATAACATACACAAACATATAACATACACAAACATATAACATACACAAACATATAACACACACAAACATATAACATACACAAACATATAACATACACAAACATATAACATACACAAGAGGCCTGTAATTTTAACTTTGTTATATTTTTCCATGTCCAATTACAATTGTCTCATGAGTTATTTTATCGTTGCAACTTTCAGAGCCTGCAGAACATGCAAAGCTTTGAGAGATTTTTCCTAAAAGGATCCATTTCAAACTTTAGTGTTTAAACCACGTGGTCTTTACTCGGGCTTGTCACAAACTGTGTCCCCTATATTTTTAATGAGCTCTTGTCACTTAAAAAAAAACTTCATGCACGTGCAATAAATGTTTTTCCTTTTTTTTTTTTAAAGCCAGTTCGGATTCCTTAAAAAATGTAAATTAGTTTCAAACTTTAATACTTCACCCTTGTTTTACGTTCATGTGGAGAAAAGACCATTGTTTTATGTGTGTGTACTTGCACCAATCATGTCTCAGATAAACGGCCAACAGTTATCAAAGACATAATTGTCCTAATTGTTTCTAATTTAGCTATTTGGAAGAGAAACATGTCATCAAAAAAGATTTCAAAAAATGTCCCTACATCTTTGTTTTCAACCAATGAACAGTGTTGCGTCTATGTGTCAGTTCTCTTTCCAGCACCAGTTTCAACTGTGCATGTGACTGTTTTTAAATAATTAACGAGCCACGGTTCAGAGGTTGAAAACACTGCTTTAAATATCCGTATTACCAAGATCATGCAGTTAAAATCAATAATTCTAAACTTCTCCGCGTCTATAACTTTAAATAATAATATAGTTTCAATAATAGAAGCTCCTCTACCTTAAATATACTGCTGTTCTAATCTCCTTGTGTCTCATGCTAAAGCAAGAGTCTAATTAATTTTAACGATTGTCCTGTATTCTTTCATGCAGCTAAATGTGGTGTTATGAACGAATGACCTAGCTAAATGTATAAATATGACTTAAATTCCACATGTCTCTGTGCTGTTTGTTTGTCTGTATATATTTACCTTCTGTCTGTCTCATTTAGCCTGGCCACGTCTTCCTCTTATGGTGTCTTTCAGTGTCTTTTGTCTCAAAGTGTCCAATGTCTTTGTCTCAATGTCTTTTTTCTTCTTCTTTCAATCAATCACTTTCTTTCTTCTTCCGACAACTTTTTCTCATGTCTTTCTTCTTCTTTTCAATCACTTTCTTCTTCTTTCAATCTTTTCCTCATAATGTCTTTCTTCTTCTTGTTAGGTTTATACAACGTTCTACTCCGTGCACATAACTCCACTCGGTTTGTGCAAAAGTCTGGTTCTTCTCCATGAAATGGAGGCCGGAGAGGTCTTCTTCGAGAGTTCCTGTTAGCTGCTGCAGCCGATGCTGCTGTCTTTGCTGCCCCCTGTGGGTGAAACGGGGGAGACGCAGATGGTCCGTGCTGATGGCGCTCGATTGAGGACTTGTGGCAGACGATTTTGGCCAAATGGAGACAGACAGAAGTTTTCTCGGAAAAAAAACAGACAAACAAGAAGCACAAACAAGTGTGTTAATTACCATACGAAACCAATGATTAATTACAATTCAAAATAAACCTATGAAATAATTAATATTAACATTTTAAACATTAAATTCTGAAAACCAATTCTGCATTCAACTGGTATCCTAAGCCCTACTTTTTCCAAAAGTATAATGCTCTCTAAGATCATTCTAACTTTTATATCACCAAAATGTAGGGGAAAAAAACTTGTCTAGACGCCTTGGAGATAAAAAATAAAAAAAAATGCCTCTTTATAATCTAACTCAAAGTTTCTGTGATCCTATGACTCCATGTTAGTAACATTATCGTGTGTATAAATGTAATTTTCTACAAAAAATTCTTTCTTCACGAGAGAGAAGAGAAAGACAGAGAGAGAGAGAGAGAGAGAGAGAGAGAGAGAGAGAGGAGGAAGGGAGAGAGAGAGAGAGAGAGAGGAGGAGGGGAGAGAGAGAGAGAGAGAAGACCCAGAACGAGGGAGGGATGGGGCTACTCGAACAAAGGAACACATGGATGATTGAAATACACCCCTTCTTTGCTACATTTTCCTCGTTTTTATCGTGATATGGTCTTAATCAGTGGTAAAAGTTTTTCTCACGTCAAACGACACTTTACATTTTATCCTTAAATACGTCAGTAATGGAAAACATTACCATTTGCTACATGATTAATGTATCGAGAGTTCCAGCAGAATCTTTTTTTTTTTTTTTTCCCTGATTCTCTGTAACTGTCGAAACATTACATCCCAATACAAGAGAAAAACTCCCAGACTGATCTTTTGTCATTTCTTCACATGAAAACTCATAGTTACAGCCAAGTGGCTCCCTTTTTTCTCATTAATCAGATCATTATTATCAGAATCCACATTTTAAATACTTGGCTTTTTTCTGTTTAAATGTACCCTTTTTTCCGCCCCCCGGGGGATATGGAGTTTTTATTATCCTATCACTTCTGACCCTAACTGCCCCTATCTCTCTAATCCTATTTATCTAAAACTCTTGTGCCTCTTTTGCACCTTAAAACGGTGTGCCTCTTTTGCACTTCTAAATCCTGTGGCTCTTTTCATCATCTGTTCTGTTTTCTTTGGAGGGACCCATGCTTCCCCCAAGGTTAAATCTGTGATCGCCGCTTACTTAGAAGCGACCTTTTTGAAGAGCAGAGAGATTTTTCCAAACCCACAAATCCAAGTCTCTATATGATGAGCTATCTCTGTCCGCTAATCTGTCATCATCATAATTTGTCCTTTCGCTGGCCCTGGCTGTGATCCTTCATAAAGAAAAAACAGGAAGGACGGGGAGTGTCCTATCAGCCAGCTTCCGGTCTAATCTGTCATCTAATCTGTCAATAAAGAGACCTAATCTGTCATCATTAAAGAGACCTAATCTGTCATCATTAAAGGGCCCTAATCTGTCATCATTAAAGGGCCCTAATCTGTCATCATTAAAGGGCCCTGTAAGAGCCAAACATGTGCAATCATTGGCCTGTGGGGGCGCCTGGGTGTGTTAGGTCTGTGGAGGGTAGGTCTAGCATAAATAGGCTCTCTCTAATGAGCCATGCAGGTGTGCAACCCGGTAGGGGCCAATGGTTTTTGACCGCTACTTTTATGGAGTTTTGTTGTCTTGATTTATGCATGAATAAACATTGATTTTTATTATACAATGAACATGTGTGGACTTATGCACGCTACGATTAAAGCTGACACAATAGCCATCTGAAGCGCGTCAGCCATAGCGACCGGTGTTTGGGCACATCTCAGTGGCACAGGTACAGGTTGGCCACTACAGGCCCTAATCCGTCATCATTAAAGGGCCCTAATCCGTCATCATTAAAGGGCCCTAATCCGTCATCATTAAAGGGCCCTAATCTGTCATAATAATAAACTGCTCTTTTCCAATACTTCTTTAACTGATAAAAGTATTTCAGAGATATTTGAATTTCTAAATTACTTTTCCAGCCCCTAAATCTTGTTATTGTTTTCATTTCGATGTCCCGCCCTCCACCGTTTCACCAATCAGAAAGTCTGTGATCCGGGCGCCAGAACTCACCGCGTGGAGCTAATCTGGGGCGGCACGGTGGCTGAGTGGATAGCACTCTCGCCTCTCAGCAAGAAGGTCCTGGGTTCGAATCCCGGCCGGACCAGGGCCTTTCTGAGTGGAGTTTGCATGTTCTCCCCGTGTCTGCGTAGGTTTCCTCCGGGTACTCCGGTTTCCCCTACCACTAAAAATATGTCCAATAGTTCTGGCATGCGCCTCCTGTACTGGCGACCCCGCTCCCATCTCTGTGTGGAGTGAGAGACAAATGCCCAAAATTAACAATTGTAAACCGCTTTGAGACTCAGATCTGCAGTGAAAAGGCGGTATATAAATACAAACTTACTTACTTACTTACTGGTAAAGTACCATGTGGCGCAGAACTAAAAAAGGACAAAACAAGGAATAAAAGCAGGATTTCTATCTTTGTGAAAAAGGTGTTGGTTATAGATTTGTTGTTGACTAAACTCTTGTCTATTCAGCTGTTATGGTCCCAGCTGGATTCGTCTGCATATCTGGCAACCTGAGTCAGGGAGAGTGGGAGAGGCTGCAGTACCACTTTTGGCCACATGTTTACACACTGCTCCTTTAAGTGTTCATTGGACAAAGGTTTCTGGTAGTTTGGGAAAGTTCATCTTGTCTTCTCACTACAATAAAGTTATTTGTTTCTTCTAAACCACACAATTGTAAAAAAAACAAAAAAAAAACAATGTTATTTCTGCTATTCAGTACTTTTATCACATTGTGTTTGTGTGTTTGTGTGTTTTGCAGGTGGAGGAGGAGGAAACATGGCTCTGGTGATCGGTCTGACAGCTGCCATCAGTATTTTTGGGCTCGCCTTCATCATCGCTGTCACATTTCTGATCTGGAAAAGGACCGAAGACTGAAAAAAACAGGTTTAGTTTGAGATTTGTATCCCAAAGAATCTCACTTTGATAACAAAGTAGAAACATATAAGACAACGAATAATTATTAATGTGTTATTATTATGTGCACATGTGTATATTGCAATATATGAATGTCTACTGGGTTTGAGGAAGTAATAATAAATGTGTGATGAGAAGTTGAATCAGTCTATAATGTTTTCCCAAGTCCTTAAAATCACTTATGGCAGGGCTCTGATCTAATCTCTCTAATTTCCCTTGTCAGCTGATCTCCCAAAGAATAGAGTTTTATCTACAGGATAAATAAAGGTTAAATAAAAGCTACACTTTGAACTTTAATTTAGATTCTAGCTTCATGACATTAGTTAAGGAGAAGGTGATGTCCCATTTCTACAGAAAACTAGAACATTAATTGGTTCTAGGTGCTGCGAATAATAATAATAATACTAAATCATTAATAATAAATATGTATATAGCATATTTATTTCAAGAACTGCAGCTAGAGGAGAGACAGAAAATCCTCAAAAAGGTGGAGACCAAACATAGATCATTCTATTTACAACAATCAAGACTTCGATCATTTTAAACTCGCTACTTTGCTGTTTACTTACTTCTTATCAAACCTGGAAACCTGGCTCTGATCCATGGCTCTGCTCTGATCAGACCACAGACTGTGTTTCAGACTCTGCGGGGCCCGTGAGCCTGTGTGAGGGTTGCCCTGTGGATATGGCGCCCCCTATGGGTCACTCTGGAGAACACAAACACAGCGCAGAAGTTGCAGTCTGCTACCGCCTCCACCACCCTCCGGAACACGGCCCGGAAGAGGAGCATGTCCCGGGGAAAGGAGGCCTCAGGAGGAGATGGAGAGGCCGGGCAGGACCACACCGAACGCGGGGACTCGCTGCTGTGTCTGCGGCTTGCGCTGAGGGCCTGGTGGGTTCTTTATGGAGATCCCAGAGCTGCAGGCGCAAAGGACGTGTGTTACAATGTAGCAGCTTATTGTAGCCGCTAACACTCGTTACAAGATGAAAGGAGAATTGCATATTTACACTGCACAGATATTTAGTCCGTGTTGTAAACGTGGAGCTGTAAGAAACCATAGATTGTTAAAACTGGCTCAGGATCCATGGCTAATGCTAAGAAACATGCTCAGCTCATTATTATTATAGCAACAATGTCCTCCTTCTCTACGAACAGAGCACATAAGAGACAGATGACTGACTCCGACAGCACGTCCCAGGCCGAGCCCAGGGGAGACCTGTCCGCCTGCAGAGCTCTGTCCCCGGGTCACTTCAGGAGCGGACCCAGTGCTGCTCCAGGGAGGCTGGCGTCTCTCAGAACCAGGGACATGACTCTGGTAGGGCCACCCAAAAAACCACGGGTAAGGATGCTCTGGAGAACTATGGAGTTGTAATTACATAATAATAATAATAATAATAATAATAACCTTTGAATGTTCTGTATCAGAGAACATTTGAACCGAATGTCCACGTTGTAAGAAAGAGCAAAGATGAGTGAGTGACGTTGATTCAGATCTTGGTATTTTGCAATATGTGGGTGATTGCATTTGATTGTTTTGCAGACTTAAAGAACACACGACCACTTCCCCACAACAGCGGAGACCGGAGAGAGAGGAGAAGAGAAAAGAGCGAAGGGTAGTAAAGAGAGAGAAACCACGGACCATTCAGTCTCACTCCATCTTTGAGCAGGCTCCCGCTGCAGCCTGCACACGGAGAACAGGTTCAGACCTCTGAGTTTCTCCCATAGATCCATGGTTCCTCCTCTGTGTCTCTGACCTCTGACCTCTGACCCTGTGGTGTGCCCAGGCCGAGGCAGTGGTCCGTGTGAGACCACCCTGTCCACTCAGCTAAAGCGTGAACCGCAGGACGACGGCCAGGCTGCTCTAGACAAACTCTACAGAGACGACGTACACTTTTCCTTTTTCAACCAAACTCAACTCAATGCTTCAAATAAAAAACAGTCTTAATGTTGACAGTTATATTTGTTTTACAGTTTATCGATGATCCATCTCTGAGAAACTGCTCCAAGCTCACTCCCATCCAGCTTCCCCTGAGACACACCCCCTCCCAGAGCACCACAGGTAGGACCACAGCCAAGAGGAGGTCAGAATACAGACGTTTGTTTGCCATTTGCAGTAAAACCACATTGGAATACATTTGCAAAAGTCCCCAGTGTGCACCAGACAAGAACATACATAAAACAACATTAAAAGTTCAGAAATAAAACAGTAAATAATTGACACTGTGAGATCGATCGACTAAAACAGTTTCAGTACAAAGGCAACATCATGAAAGGGCTCTGTTTAAACTGATAACAGCTGAAAGAAGCTATTAGCATGTTAGCATGTCCTGCACCTCAGTGAACCATATCTTCTGTCAGAGGGAAGAAGCTGGAACAAGGCTTTTCCAGGAGCCAGAAGAGTCATTGACTATTCTAAGAGCTTGATTTAAAAGTCTGGATTTATAAAGAACCTCCAGAACAGGCAATGATCTAGAGGTGCAATATTATTATTATTATTATTATTTATTGCTCTTGGATCCAGTATCTACTTTATGATCGATTGTTATCCTTTCATATTCTGTTTTTTCTCTGATTTATGCATGTCCAAAGAATCCTGCTGATCTTCTAAAAAGGCATTGAAATGATGTGAATGAACAATTATAGATAAGATGGATAATTATATTCATTTCAGTTTTATAATAAAGAGAATGACATTTCAATTCAATATATTTTTGTACAGCCCTAAATCACAACAAGTAGTTATCTTGAAGGAATTTACAAAGTTTTCCATTTCTCCACCTAGATCAGAGAATCAGGAACAGAGACAACGCTGCAGGACTAATGCTAAAACGTATATTACTGTAAAACCACTGAAAGCCCTGATTTCTTCTCGGGGGCGGCACGGTGGCTGAGTGGATAGCACTCTCGCCTCTCAGCAAGAAGGTCCTGGGTTCGAATCCCAGTCGGGCCAGGGCCTTTCTGAGTGGAGTTTGCATGTTCTCCCCGTGTCTGCGTAGGTTTCCTCCGGGTACTCCGGTTTCCCCTACCACTAAAAATATGTCCAATAGTTCTGGCATGTGCCTCCTGTACTGGCGACCCCGCTCCCATCTCTGTGTGGAGTGAGAGACAAATGCCCAAAAATTAACAATTGTAAACCGCTTTGAGATTCAGATCTGCAGTAGATATGCAGATCGGCGGTATATAAATAAAAAGATTACTTACTTACTTCCCAGCTCACCCCACACGAGGCGGAGACGCAGCCGTGTGTGAGGCCAAGCAGCCGTCTCTGGTGGAACTCTTCAGGGATCTACAGGTCTCCGACGCCAACGAGCTGTTTTTTATGCAGCTTCCAGACTGCATGCCTCTGAAAACTGTAACACCGAAAGCTCCAGACACTGCCGGACGTGGACCCTCAAAACCAGCCAGGAGAGAGAGCCTGCACCAGGGCAAGGCTGGGGAGAACGTGCAAACACAGGTGAGAGTTACAACAGTCTTCATGGAACTTTCAGTGTTGTTCAGAGACACAGACACAGGTACATATAGACACAGACACAGGTACATATCGACACAGACACAGGTACATATCGACACAGACACAGGTACACATAGACACAGACACAGGTACATATCGACACAGACACAGGTACATATAGACACAGGTACACATAGACACAGACACAGGTACACATAGACACAGACACAGGTACACATAGACACAGACACAGGTACATATAGACACAGACACAGGTACATATCGACACAGACACAGGTACATATCGACACAGACACAGGTACACATAGACACAGACACAGGTACATATCGACACAGACACAGGTACATATAGACACAGGTACACATAGACACAGACACAGGTACATATAGACACAGACACAGGTACATATAGACACAGACACAGGTACATATAGACACAGAGACACAGGTACATATAGACACAGACACAGGTACATATCGACACAGACACAGGTACATATCGACACAGACACAGGTACATATCGACACAGACACAGGTACATATCGACACAGACACAGGTACATATCGACACAGACACAGGTACATATCGACACAGACACAGGTACATATCGACACAGACACAGGTACATATCGACACAGACACAGGTACATATCGACACAGACACAGGTACATATAGACACAGACACAGGTACATATAGACACAGACACAGGTACATATAGACACAGACACAGGTACACATAGACACAGACACAGGTACATATCGACACAGACACAGGTACATATAGACACAGACACAGGTACATATCGACACAGACACAGGTACACATAGACACAGACACAGGTACATATAGACACAGGTACACATAGACACAGACACAGGTACATATAGACACAGACACAGGTACATATAGACACAGACACAGGTACACATAGACACAGACACAGGTACACATAGACACAGACACAGGTACATATAGACACAGACACAGGTACACATAGACACAGACACAGGTACATATCGACACAGACACAGGTACATATAGACACAGGTACACATAGACACAGGTACACATAGACACAGACACAGGTACACATAGACACAGACACAGGTACATATCGACACAGACACAGGTACACATAGACACAGACACAGGTACATATCGACACAGGTACATATCGACACAGACACAGGTACACATAGACACAGACACAGGTACATATCGACACAGACACAGGTACACATAGACACAGGTACACATAGACACAGGTACACATAGACACAGACACAGGTACACATAGACACAGACACAGGTACACATAGACACAGACACAGGTACACATAGACACAGACACAGGTACACATAGACACAGACACAGGTACACATAGACACAGACACAGGTACATATCGACACAGACACAGGTACACATAGACACAGACACAGGTACACATAGACACAGACACAGGTACATATCGACACAGACACAGGTACACATAGACACAGACACAGGTACACATAGACACAGACACAGGTACATATCGACACAGACACAGGTACATATAGACACAGACACAGGTACATATCGACACAGACACAGGTACACATAGACACAGACACAGGTACATATAGACACAGACACAGGTACATATAGACACAGACACAGGTACATATAGACACAGACACAGGTACACATAGACACAGACACGGGTACATCAGATTCAGATTCATTTATTCGACACAGACACAGGTACACATAGACACAGACACAGGTACATATCGACACAGACACAGGTACATATAGACACAGACACAGGTACACATAGACACAGACACAGGTACACATAGACACAGACACAGGTACATATAGACACAGACACAGGTACATATAGACATATAGACACAGGTACATATAGACACAGACACAGGTACACACAGACACAGGTACACATAGACACAGACACAGGTACATATAGACACAGACACAGGTACATATCGACACAGACACAGGTACACATAGACACAGGTACACATAGACACAGACACAGGTACATATAGACACAGACACAGGTACACATAGACACAGACACAGGTACATATAGACACAGACACAGGTACATATCGACACAGACACAGGTACACATAGACACAGACACAGGTACATATAGACACAGACACAGGTACATATAGACACAGACACAGGTACACATAGACACAGACACAGGTACATATCGACACAGACACAGGTACATATAGACACAGGTACACATAGACACAGGTACACATAGACACAGACACAGGTACACATAGACACAGACACAGGTACATATCGACACAGACACAGGTACACATAGACACAGACACAGGTACATATTGACACAGACACAGGTACACATAGACACAGACACAGGTACATATCGACACAGACACAGGTACACATAGACACAGACACAGGTACACATAGACACAGACACAGGTACACATAGACACAGACACAGGTACACATAGACACAGACACAGGTACATATCGACACAGACACAGGTACACATAGACACAGGTACACATAGACACAGACACAGGTACATATCGACACAGACACAGGTACACATAGACACAGACACAGGTACACATAGACACAGACACAGGTACATATCGACACAGACACAGGTACATATCGACACAGACACAGGTACACATAGACACAGACACAGGTACATATAGACACAGACACAGGTACACATAGACACAGACACGGGTACATCAGATTCAGATTCATTTATTCGACACAGACACAGGTACACATAGACACAGACACAGGTACATATCGACACAGACACAGGTACATATAGACACAGACACAGGTACACATAGACACAGACACAGGTACACATAGACACAGACACAGGTACATATAGACACAGACACAGGTACATATAGACATATAGACACAGGTACATATAGACACAGACACAGGTACACACAGACACAGGTACACATAGACACAGGTACATATAGACACAGACACAGGTACATATCGACACAGACACAGGTACACATAGACACAGGTACACATAGACACAGACACAGGTACATATAGACACAGACACAGGTACATATAGACACAGACACAGGTACACACAGACACAGGTACACATAGACACAGACACAGGTACATATAGACACAGACACAGGTACATATAGACACATAGACACAGGTACATATCGACATAGACACAGGTACACATAGACACAGACACAGGTACATATAGACACAGACACAAGTACACATAGACACAGACACGGGTACATCAGATTCAGATTCATTTATTCGACACAGACACAGGTACACATAGACACAGGTACATATAGACACAGACACAGGTACATATCGACACAGACACAGGTACATATCGACACAGGCACAGGTACACATAGACACAGACACAGGTACATATCGACACAGACACAGGTACATATCGACACAGACACAGGTACATATCGACACAGACACAGGTACATACAAACACAGGTACATATCGACACAGACACAGGTACAGGTGAAACACATCAGGGCGGGGCAGACCATCAACACAGGGGAACAAGACAGGAAGTACAACTAAAACCAAACTTATGTCAAAATAAAACCAAAGTACAAAAATAACAATCCACACCATGACAGGGATAAAAGTTAAAACAGAGGCTAAAAATCCTTCTCCACGGCCTGGTCCGCCAGACCACGGGGGCTCTCCCCTCGTCGTGTCCTCTTCCCACCCTCCCATCTCTGCCTTTATGCTCCAGGCACAGGGGTCTTGATTGTCCAGTCACGTGGGGAGCCGGGGGGCTTCGGGTGGTGGAAGTCAAACGTTAAAAACACACAACATGCATACAAAAATCTATAAACACATAAAGCAAACGTTTAAAACCCACCACCCTTTTGCAACCTTATTTTAATTACGTCTTTAACTTCTGGACCCTGTAGCACTCACTCCCCCTGTCTCTGATGTACAGCATATGTACTGATCCATCATGTGTGTAGTTACTCTCACGCTCTCTGGGGTCTGTGCCTTCAGGAACCGGTGCTGTCAGGTTTTTCCGAGGGCCTTCTGGGTAAACTGCAGCTTCGGAAATCGGGAAAAGTTGTGTTAAAGCTGGGAGACATCAGCATGGACGTGACGGAGGGGGCGGCCTTCTCTTTCCTGCAGGTACTTGCCCCATGACAGCTCCGTACGGCACATTCATCAATACTAACCGGTGTCGATGGTGTCTTACAGCAGCTGGTGTCGGTGCGTTTGTCCGAGGGCCGCTCCGGAGACATGATGGTCCTCGGGAACGTCAGTCACAAGCTGGTTTTGTCTCCTGTTTTTCAGACTCTAATCGATCAATCGGAGACTAAGAAGCCGTAGATGATTATTTTTAAAAGGCAGCTAAGGTGAGAGTTGTAACCTCACTTCAACAAGCTGAATGCAGACTTTTCTGTGTCGTGGCAGCTTCGACAAGAGACACTTTGGAAAGATTCATTCATTATACTGTGTTGTTTGTTTGATTTAACCTGTTTAGAGGCTCCTACACCTGAGAATGGACAGAGAAAGGGACAGAATGTGGAGGAACTGCATTATTTTTCAGAGGAAATGTACAGTGACATCTGAATAGGTCTCAACTCCAAACCTGGAAACTTTTGACATAAAACACAAACTTACTAGACACCGCAAGCACCACCGAAAGACCAGATCTAAATATTTGGTCTTCAAAGCACCACCCACTCTAAAGCAGGGCCATACCAGGAGTACACTATTTCTCGACTAGTTCTTAAGGTTTTAGCCCAAAAGAGGACAAATGTTGAATTTAAGGACTCTATTCTGCAAATATTTGAGTAAAATGTAGCTAGAATATTTGAAAAAATCAGTCCGATGAGAGACAGGTGTAATGTATATAATATTTTCAGTCTGTGCACTTTGCCTTTTAACAGAAATATACAGTTTTTGCTACTTTTCTAGATTTAAAGACTCTCGTTCCACTGGAGAAAGAGTAGAATCCACCTTATCTAAGACGAACGACCAGCTTTTTTCAGGGATATTTTTCCATGTTGTGACATCACTGCACTGGAATGATTGAAACGTGTTGTGAAATAAGTCAAATGTACAACTTTGTAAAAAAAAAAAAAAAAAAACTTGTGTTGAACTTTATTCCATAATGAAAACGTACTTTGCACTTTCTTTAGAGGCACAAATCACTTCATAATTCTGAAATCATGAAAAGAGCCCAGTTGATAATGTATCACTTTGTGGCAGAGCTGACAATAACAAGACAGTCCCTCATGATCAAACCCAAGACCAAATATTTTGAACCAAAACAGAAAAGGCAGAGTTGTCAACAGCAGTCAGAGAGAAACAGGTCATTTACTAGTTTTTTGCCCCGTGTTGTATCAAGCTGCCAACATTTCAGTCATTCAGACCTTTACAAACTCATGTGGCTCTTAAAACATTCCAGGGTGAGTTTAAAAGGTCTATAGGAGGATTTTCCCAAGTTTCAGGAAAGACCCGCCCTCTCTGGTCTTATTGGACGAGCTCCTCCAGAATGATTGACAGTTAGGAGGACCAATCGTCTCCATGATCCACCCGGACATAGAAAAATCCTCCTATACACACCTTTTAAGCTTTGAAATGAACATTCAAATCAAATTTAAACAAAACCATTTTACGTTTCTATAGCTGTAAATATGTTTGTGAAACTCAGAATAGGATTGTTTTAATAAAGAAAGTGAAATTCTCTCTTCATTAAAAACACTGAATATATTCTCGGAAAAAGTCATGAACGACTAAAGATTCAGTCACCTCCTTCTCTGCGGATTCCAAAGGTTTTTTTTTTCTTTCTCACACAAACTTCAAAAAGACACTCGCCGTTTATGTATTTTTTGCCGTTTTCCCGGTTTTCGTGGCGCTGCTCGAGGTCTTCTTCGTCACTTTGGGTTTGGTTTTGCCTGTCGCTCTTTTCACAGTTATTTTCTTTGCTTTGACCGTAATCCTGTTCTTCCTGGAGCGGGTTTGCTCACGCAGCAAATCCTCCCGTCCGATTTCCACCATGTGTTCTTCCCATGATTTAATTTCATTTTTATAGCGGACTTTGTCGTCTTCAGCCAGCTGCGTGTAGACCTGCGACCAGACCAAAATAAGTGAGTGACTGTTGGGAGTTTCCACCTCCGTAACGTTGCTCGCCTCCTCCCCTCCCTCTCTCAATCCACTGCTGAAATACTGGTTCAAGCCTTCATCCCCTCCAGACCTTTACGACTGCAACAGCCTCCTCTTCGGTCTCCCCTCCACCCATCTCCAACAACTACAATGTACATCCAGAACTCTGCCGCCCGCCTGCTCACCCACCCCCGCTCCAGAGACCACATCACCCCTGTCCTCAAACAACTCCACTGGCTCCTTGTTTTATCCAATACAAGGTCCTCCTCCTCCTCCTCCTCACCTACAAGTCCCTCCATAACCTGCTCCCTCTTCCCTCACCGACCTCCTCCATCATCACTGTCCGTCCCACCGCCTCAGATCCACAGACTCCCACCTCCTCAACAAACATCTCAGGACTAAACACTGAACCCTGGGGGACCGAGCCTTCGCTGCAGCTGCCCCCACTCTCTGGAACTCACTCCCTCAACCAATCAGAAACTCAGACTCACTACAGAACTTTAAATCTCTTCTCTACTTATTTCTATGTGTTTTGTAAAGCGTGTCCAAAAAAGCGCTACATAAGTTTGATGCATTATTATTATTGTTATTATAGATTTGTGTGACGGACCTGCTTCTGATGGCTGAACAGATTCCTCCAGTCTTGCAAAAGGGACTTCATCTTTCCCTAAAAGTCAATGGAAAGTTTAGAGCAAGTATCGTTTTAAAGAGAGGTGTAAGTACAGACCGGGGTGGTGGCTCCTCTGGCCTCTTCAAAGTGTTCCGACATGTAAATGTTGAACGGAGAGCGCGGACGCTTTGGTTTTCCGAGCGAAGTCAACTCCTGACAAAGACAAAGGTTATTCACTCAGGATTGTAGCCATGGACTAATTTGCATCCGTTGTCGCACATTCGCAAACACACTCTTTCACCCTGAACTATTGCACATGTTTTTAAGTGCTAAGTAGTGCTTCTCAACAGGTGGGTCATGGATCCTCTTTGGTCGATTGTGAGATTTTCATGGGCGACATTTTTAAAATACTGTGTGCATCCATCTAGGGCTGGGCGATAAAACAGAATGGGGAGAATAGAGAATGGGGTCGATAGAATGTTCGATAGTTTAACTTAACTCCGTCAGGAAAAACAGGAAGAAAACACCGGAAGTAAAGCCGACTCATAAGCGCATGGCATTGTGGGGGATGTAGGCAGAGGCTTCTCGACCAATAACAGCCGAGCAGGAACCGCAAAACTTTGTGGGAAATGCAAAAACACCAACAACCGCAGCATGCGTAGCGTCCATGGATCTATAGCTCGTGTTTCAATGCCGTGTCAATGGTTGTGCACGTACGTGCGCGGAATAACATGTGCGGCGGCAGAGGCAGTGGACAGACACAATGTATTTGGCGAAAGCAAGAGATTAACTTTTTCCTCGGGAAGCATGTGCGGCACAGAGAGCCGCACGGAGCGGTCACGGGGACACAAGACCCTCAGCTAAACCAGGAGCTAAACCAGGAATAAAAACCAGGATTAAACCAGGACTAACAACGAGGGACACAGTGTGAACATATTCCTCCAGCCTCATCGCCCCGTGACTGTAAACAAGGCTGCTAAGGTTGGTTAGCCCACACGACAAATACAGTGCCTTGCAAAAGTATTCGGCCCCCTTGAACCTTTCAACATTTCGCCACATTTCAGGCTTCAAACATAAAGATATAAAATTTTAATTTTTTGTCATGAATCAACAACAAGTGGGACACAATCGTGAAGTGGAATGAAATTTGTTGGATAATTTGAACTTTTTTAACAAATAAAAAACTGAAAAGTGGGGCGTGCAATATTATTGGGCCCCTTTACTTTCAGTGCAGCAAACTCAGTCCAGAAGTTCAGTGAGGATCTTTGAATGATCCAATGTTGTCCTAAATGACTGATGATGATAAATAGAATGCTCCTGTGTGTAATCAAGTCTCCGTATAAATGCACCTGCTCTTTGATAGTCTCAGGGTTCTGTTTAAAGCACAGAGAGAACCATGAAGACAAAGGAACACACCAGGCAGGTCCGAGATACTGTTGTGGAGAAGTTTAAAGCCGGATTTGGATACAAAAAGATTTCCCAAGCTTTAAACATCTCAAGGAGCACTGTGCAAGCAATTATATTGAAATGGAAGGAGTATCAGACCACTGCAAATCTACCAAGACCCGGCCGTCCCTCCAAACTTTCATCTCAAACAAGGAGAAGACTGATCAGAGATGCAGCCAAGAGGCCCATGATCACTCTGGATGAACTTCAGATAACTACAGCTGAGGTGGGGATGGTGTGTTCAGGGTGATGAGCTGTGTTGCTTTTACGCCAAACATATCGTTTTGCATTGTGGCCAAAAAGTTTGATTTTGGTTTCATCTGACCAGAGCACCTTCTTCCACATGTTTGGTGTGTCTCCCAGGTGGCTTGTGGCAAACTTTAAGAGACTTTTATTGGATATCTTTGAGAAATGGCCACTCTTCCATAAAGGCCAGATTTGTGCAGTGCACGACTGATTGTTGTCCTATGGACAGACTCTCCCACCTCAGCTGTAGTTATCTGCAGTTCATCCAGAGTGATCATGGGCCTCTTGACTGCATCTCTGATCAGTCTTCTCCTTGTTTGAGATGAAAGTTTGGAGGGACGGCCGGGTCTTGGTAGATTGTTGCAGTGGTCTGATACTCCTTCCATTTCAATATAATTGCTTGCACAGTGCTCCTTGAGATGTTTAAAGCTTGGGAAATCTTTTTGTATCCAAATCCGGCTTTAAACTTCTCCACAACAGTATCTCGGACCTGCCTGGAGTGTTCCTTTCTCTTCATGGTTCTCTCTGCGCTTTAAACAGAACCCTGAGACTATCAAAGAGCAGGTGCATTTATACGGAGACTTGATTACACACAGGTGCATTCTATTTATCATCATCAGTCATTTAGGACAACATTGGATCATTCAAAGATCCTCACTGAACTTCTGGACTGAGTTTGCTGCACTGAAAGTAAAGGGGCCGAATAATATTGCACGCCCCACTTTTCAGTTTTTTATTTTTTTTAAAAGTTTAAATTATCCAATACATTTCGTTCCACTTCACGATTGTGTCCCACTTGTTGTTGATTCATGACAAAAAATTTCAATTTTATATCTTTATGTTTGAAGCCTGAAATGTGGCAAAATGTTGAAAGGTTCAAGGGGGGCGAATACTTTCGCAAGGCACTGTATATTTATTTAGGTTAAAAAAAAAAAATTACTCAATATATATCGTTATCGACCGATATGAATGACTTATATCGTGATATAGTTTTCAGCCATATCGCCCAGCCCTATATCCATCTACACTACAAAAAAAGTCAAATCAGGAAAGAAGTAACAATTTGATATGTTTAAGTGTATCTTTGCTGCCATTTGGCCGGGACTCCCTTGAGAGAGAGAGTCCAGCAATGGGATTATTCCTGGTTAATTCAATGAAAACATGAGCATCTGAATCCAGGGCACTTTCTATACTTCAGGGGTTTCATTTCAACCAGTCCTCAAGGGGCTGGTGAGGACTGGTTCGACATCCCTGATATACAGCGACCTGGCTCCCCACTAACATTTATAAGTAGAAGTATTTAAGATTTTCATGTCTAGTCATCATTAAAGGGCCCTAATCTGTCATTATTAAAGGGCCCTAATCTGTCATAATAATAAACTGCTCTTTTCCAATACTTCTTTAACTGATAACAGTCGTTCAGAGATATTTGAATTTCTAAATTACTTTTTCAGCCTCTAAATCTTGTTATTGTTTTCATTTTGATGTCCCGCCCTCCACCGTTTCACCAATCAGATGGTCTGTGATCCGGGCGCCAGAACTCACCATGTGGAGCTAATCTCACTGGTAAAGTACCATGTGGCGCAGAACTAAAAAAGGTCTCGTTATGATTCTCAAATCATTAACAACAAAACAAGGAATAAAACCAGGATTTCTATCTTTGTGAAAAAGGTGTTGGTTATAGATTTGTTGTTGACAAAACTCTTGTCTATTCAGCTGTTATGGTCCCAGCTGGATTCGTCTGCATATCTGGCAACCTGAGTCAGGGAGAGTGGGAGAGGCTGCAGTACCACTTTTGGCCACATTTATACATATTTCTTCTTAAAGTGGTTCTCACCCCCGCTCCTCAGAGCTTACGTCACTCACATTTCCTGTTCAAATCTTCTTCTAAATGGGCGTAGCCTGGAGGACTAAAGGGGGCGTGAACGAGACTGGGCCGTTTACATTGCTCTGGGCGGGGGGCTGCTGACGTCAGGTCCAACTTGCAGACGTCAGGTCCAACTTCTGTGCCAGTGTTGGCGCCAGATTCAAAATTCAAATGTAGTAATACAGGTCGCCAGCAGATGGCGCCTCACAGACGGTTTTAGGCAGAAAGTCTAACTTTCAACTAATTTGCACCAAAGTGACAAGATTATGACCAGGATATGTAGACAACACTATTGGACACTCATTTATACCGTTTATCAGCAAAAAAAAGTGGATTTGAGGGTGAGTTGTCCTTTAAAGATTTGTTTCTGTGATTTTTTTTTCTAAATTCCAGAGTCTGTTGTTTGAGCTTTTTCAGGTATCATTCAATGCTTATAAAATAACAGTATTTAACAGTTCAAATTTGGGTTAGATGTTGATCCAGACACTGTTCCAGACGAGACCCACTGGACGAGATGATTACCACTGAGGAGATTACATGTAATAGGCCACAGCTGCTTTGTAGTAGTGAGGTAGTACTGTAAGTATTCTTGAAAGTGCAGAGCCGAGTCCGATCTTTACCCGTTTCTTGCGAATGGCCTTCCGTTTGGCCAGTCTCTGCTTTTTGTCCAGAGCCTGCTGCCGTTCCTGTTCCGGGCTGAGCTGGGCCGTGTAGCTCTTCAGGTCCACTTTATACTGCTCCCTCGCTTTCACAGAGGCCTCTTCAAACGGCTGTGGGGCCAAAGGGACTCAGGTTAGACGGTTGTTGGCCATAAACTCATACTTAAAAAAAAGGTACACTGTGTAGTTTTTACTCCCATCTAGCATTGAGATCATATATTGTAATTTACGTTACTACAGTAGCCTGGCCTTATCCATCCGTAAACTCCGCTCAGTTATCATTTCTCTGCATATAACGTCCGCTCAAACTCCTTTTTTGTCCCTTATCAACCACTGATTTCCAAGATGGAGGATTCACACAGAGCGTCCTCAGCCTCACGGACATTTATAAGTCACAGTCTAAGTCTATAACAACAATTCAAAAACATGGTGAAGGTAAATATTCTTTAAAAGGTCAGATTTGTTTTGGGTTGATTTTACATTTGGAGCAACTGTAAAAATGACACAGAGCACCTTTAAAAACAAACAATAACAAACCGGACTTACCTTCTTCTGGTCGGGCCTCAGGGTTCTCCACTGTTGAGCAATTTTCCGCATAACATCGACGGACTTGATCTCTGCAAAAGGACTCTCGTTACCGTCTGACCCTGGGATCTGTTGGAGGTTTGGGGTCTTACCTGGGTTCAGTCGGGCCACGATGGGCTGCTGCTGCATTACATATCGCATGTACGAATTCAGGGGTCTCTTCGGGGGGGCACTGGCCAAAGAACTGAGCCACCTCCCGCAGATGGAGGTGGGGAGAAAACTGCTGCTTCTACAACAAAAACAAGGGAAATACTTTTTGTTTCTGTATACTTCATGTATCAGAGTGAGACAGAACCACATGAGACCCATTTGAAAGTATTTAGAGGAAAAATATGTCAATTGTTCATCTGCAAAAACCATTAGAACACATTTACAATTTGCCTTTATCTTATTTTGAAAAGCCAGATCTACTTTAGTGCCATACAAATAGTTTCACATTCTTGAAGCAATTCTTTCAAATGTACTGAAAATAAAAACCATGTTAAGATCATATTTTGAGGAATATAACTTTTTGAAACATCAAAACTTCGGGGGCAGTGGGGGTCTTTATGGTCTTTATGGTCTTTATGGTCTTACCTCACAGCAGCAGAAGTGCAGGAGAACAGACATTTGGCCCAATGACTGGCGACTGCAGACACCAGACTGGACGGAGCCATGACCGGAGTTTAAGGTTCGTAAAGTTCGGTGCTGGTCGTTAGAAAAAAAGACCTTGTGCTGTTGGTGGAGGTGGGAGGTGAGCTGCAGAAGGCGCCTGGACTCTGCCAAAGCATGATGGGAAACCGCACTTCCGCTTCCGCTGGAGGGAGCTGCTTGTTTACTATCGCCTCAAACCGAGCCTCAGAGACGCACACGGGGGTCAGGCGTGTCCCGCCCGGTGCTGGTGGAGCAGCTGCTGGTGCTGGACCCGGTGATCCCGCAGGAGGTCTGCAGTCCGGCCCGGGGCTCCCGGTAAACTCTGTACAGTGAGCGGCATGTGCTCCAGCAGGGGGCGGTAGCGGCGGTGTCAGTGCAGCAGAGGAGCTGCACAAGTCTGACCTGGATCCATGGATCCACAGATGTGATGGACCCCCTCTGCAGGACCCCCTCTGTCCAGGACCTCTGTCTGTGTTTGGACTGTTGATCTGTGGATGAAACATGGACTGAAGGCCCCGGAGCTGCAGTGTTACCGAGCTCAGCCCTGTCCGCGGACAGACGCAGGTCTCTGGGCTCCTACAGGGTGTGTGCTGGGGACTGAGCTGGGTATGGGCCCCGGGGGCCACACCAGTGCTCTACACCGGTGTCAGCCATTGAACAGGGAGTGTATCTGTGTCAGCTGTGCTTCAGGACGTCGTCTTGTCCAGAGAACGTCCGGATAAACGTGTGCGCTTCCAAAGCCTGCCCTGTGCATGGCAGTGTCCACACGGATGGACTGAGCGGACATCGTGACGTAAAGAGCCGTGAGCCGCAGGAGCGGAGTGGGATGTGGCCACTATGTGTGTGAGAGAGATGACTGTCAGTGCGTCTGGCTCCGGGACCGAGGCTTCCTGCTCTGCTGTCCGTGTGTGGACGCTGTCATCGGGCACAGTTACTGATCACTCCCGCGGGGCCCCTCACTGCCCCCTCAGGCTCCAGAGCTCCCCCGGATCTGAACTCTTGCCCCGGTGTAAGAACAGCATGTGAGCGGCTTCTGACGTCTGCTTTAAACGCCGCTGTTCTCGGACTTTTACTTTTTGTTTTTAAAAGGTCAGTTTTTTACTCAGAGGGTCGAATGGAGTCGTCTATAGCCCTGGGCAGACTGGAGCTGAGCCCGGGTCCCACTGGGGTCACGGGGGACTCCAGGCTGAGCGCCGTGGACCCTGCCCCTGACAGAGCCGCTCTCAGGCCCTCGGGCCCCGGGCACCTGAACGGCTGTGTGCCGCTGTCACACCAGGTGGCAGGGCACAAGTACGGAGTGGACAAAGTGGGTGAGTACAGACTTGTGTATGCTTGTACAGGTGTGTGTCTCTGCTGCTCTGTGTGTGTGTCTGTGTGTACAGGTGTGTGTCTCTGCTGCTCTGTGTGTGTGTCTGTGTGTACAGGTGTGTGTCTCTCTGTGTGTGTGTGTACAGGTGTGTGTCTCTGCTGCTCTGTGTGTGTGTCTGTGTGTACAGGTGTGTGTCTCTGCTGCTCTGTGTGTGTGTCTGTGTGTACAGGTGTGTGTCTCTCTGTGTGTGTGTGTACAGGTGTGTGTCTCTCTGTGTGTGTGTCTGTGTCTACAGGTGTGTGTCTCTGTGTGTGTGTGTGTGTCTACAGGTGTGTGTCTCTCTGTGTGTGTGTGTCTGTGTGTACAGGTGTGTGTCTCTCTGTGTGTGTGTGTGTGTCTACAGGTGTGTGTCTCTCTGTGTGTGTGTGTGTGTACAGGTGTGTGTCTCTGTGTGTGTGTCTGTGTCTACAGGTGTGTGTCTCTCTGTGTGTGTGTGTCTGTGTGTACAGGTGTGTGTCTCTCTGTGTGTGTGTGTGTGTGTGTACAGGTGTGTGTCTCTGTGTGTGTGTGTGTGTGTCTACAGGTGTGTGTCTCTCTGTGTGTGTGTGTGTGTGTCTATGTGTGTGTTTCTTGCTGGACTGGGGATTGTTCAGTGAAGTTATCTCTGTTAAAGTACAATCTCAGATGAGTCATTGCACACAGTCCCTGGCCTGATCCAAGCCGGTCCTGGACCTGAACTCTCTCATGTGACCATTACACAGTCCCTTTATGTTAAAATAAACACTTAACAATATACATTTATACACTTTATGCAATTCCATGTATTACTTTATCTTTATACAGCTCTTACAACACTTACTTTTACTCAGCACTTCTAATATTACCCTTAACCTTAAAGCCCCAGTGAGTCATTGGTGCTCTCAGCGGGGGTTTCTGTGTCTCTGAGGCTGATTGCAAATGGAAAGCTAATTTTGCTTTCTTGGTAAAGAAACGCAAACGTCTAAACCGCAGTGGTAAGTGTATAAAATGTCCTCTGAGGTCCTGTCTGTGAGCGTAGAACCAGCTCTTAATCCTGCTCAGCCAGTTTCCCGTCCTCGCTCTTATCTGCATTCTGGCATTCTGAGTGTGATTTATTTATTTATTCCTTGAGAAAGTGTCTGTCAGAGCTATTCCGTCACAGTCGTCCTGGCAATGTTAAAACTGGTTCCAAAAGTAAAGAGTTCTCATCTCAATGTTACGACTCCGGACGGTGTATCATTTAAGTCTGTGTCTCAAACGTGCAGTCGTCAGTTTTTAATGTAACTTTTATCAAATACTTTTACTTTTATACACACTTTATTACAGGTATTCTGCAGCATCCAGATGGGACTGTTCTGAAGCAGCTCCAACCCCCACCGAGAGGTCCAAGAGAGATGCACTTCTACAGCATGGTACAATTCCATTTCATTCATACGTGTTTTTGTATCGCCCTAAATCACAAATCTGCTGAAATCTCCAACTCAGATCAGAGAATGAAAACCGTTCAAACACAAGAAAAGCACAATAATAAAAACGCATAGAGCCATTGGTCCATAAGAGGCAGAGACCACCGTCCATAAATGTTAATATCAATCCATAAATGTCATTGAATGTCGCGTGTCTACCCCAGAATAATGTTTTAGGAAAGTATGTCTGCAGCGTCGGCCACTGTCGCTGCCTCTCGTCCGGTGCTAAAGTTGACACTGAGCACGCACTGATTGTTTTTATCCTCTATAATCCGCCAGTGGGACAGGCTTTACGCTGCGGCGAGTGGACGTGAGACTTTGGTGTTTCGAAAAACCAAAACGGCTTCAGTAAAAATGCTTAAAGCAGACATTCCTTTTCATTCTGCTCCCGTGTGACTCCGGGGCCACAGTGACGCTTTATCCATGTGGCCTGACACTAACGCAGCTCGGATTTACAGCGAAAAAGAGGTTTTCGACAGGTTTCTGCAGCTTGTTTTCTTGGGCTGAAAGTCCGTGGCCTCCACAGGTGAACAAAATATGAACTAGTCATTTTGGTTTTTATAGGAAAACAGAAAAACTTAGAAGGTATTGATTCTAGTGTTGTGCTTAGTGTTGAAGTGGGTCAGATATATGTGTATAAATATGTATATATATTTAGCCACGCCCGTTTTTTCTTGACTAATTGTCCGACCAGGCTTTTCTTTAGTCAACTACCCGCTACACAGCTGCCATCAAAAGGCCTTCACTGATTTGCGGACTTTTGTGTGTGCTATTTTTGCTCATGAGCCGTGTGTGTATTCTCCAACAACATCATGTAACCGCTAGAAAAACATAACATTTACCTTCATTGACTGCCGGCCGTTTTCGATGATTTCACTGATTCTCAAGACCCACAGAATATTATTTCCAAAGACTATGTGAAATACAAAACCAGATTCTGAAAGACTGGATTGTCTACTTTGATCAGCAAAAAAAAGCCTGTTTATGGCCATTTTTATTGTCCCGTAATCTCCAGTCGAATAGTGGGTCTCGGACAAATACGTCAATAGCAGTCAATGAGTTAAAGAAAACGTATGTCTTGTGTGTACTGCGATTAGTTCAGAGGTCTACAGCGGTCTCACTGTAGTCCTCGGTCCTGCTCCTGCTCCTCAGTGTCCTCTGCTAATGTATTTCACACTGGATGCACGTCTTTTGACAGCTGCAGTAGCACTCAGGCCTACATTAAACAGGTTTGCTATCCCTGCGATCACGCGTCAGCCGTGGTGAGTTCAGGAGGTTAGAAAAGTGTGTAAAGTGTGAGGGTTTTACAGCTTTAAATCTCACAGCTGCTACTTTAAGGATTTTGCTGATTCTGGGTTATTTTTAGATTTAGAACCACTGAATTGCAAAACTGTAGCTGGTTAGATTAAACTGTATTCATCAAGCAACTGTGTTTACTTTTAAATCTCAATCAACACACAAACTCTCCACATGACACCGATCAAAGGTTTGCCAAACAGGTTTTCAATGGCAAAAGTGAATTGGGCTTGTTCGCACTAAAGGGCACAAAAGTGTGACAAAAGGCCAAAAATTAGATTTTAATAATCAGAAGATATTTTATGTTTTTCATGTTTCCAACACCTCCTCTGTTCATCAGAAGTTTCTAGAACAAAACTGTTTTATACATTAGACAAGTTTCCTACAGCGCCCTGTTTATTTTATGTAACGGACGATGATTTGACAGAATGAGCTTTGTGGAAGTTTGATGGTATTTTCAGATGTCCACATTTGATTCAGAGATTCTATTTTTTTACACAAAGTAGATGCAAAGTGATACTTTCATATTGTCAACCAATTAAATCTGAAAACAGACCAGATTTTTTTTTCTCTCAAGTTTAATTTTTAGAGAAAAGAGGACCGTCCTCATCACGTCCGTTATACATTTTTCAGGGGTCATTTAATTAATTAATTAATGTTAATTTTTTTACGATTCCTTTTTACATCAAGTGATTTCCTTCTGTTGTGTTAACCGTGTAAATCTGTGGGATTTCATCTTCTGCTTTTTCAGACTGAGGACGTTTTATTTCCTATGTAACTGGCGTCGCAGTAGAATGGTCCAATCAGAGGCTGCTTTGGTCGTTTAAAATGTTGCTAAAAAATTTCATGTCAATCTTTCCTTTTCTTTCCTCCACACTATCTCTTCAATGTGTCTGTGTTTGAAATCTTTTTTCCAATCTATGAAAGTAATTTTAGTTTTTAAGTTATAACCTTTTAAAGTCCAGATACTTCAATTGTCACTTTACTGTGAACACACTCAATTACGTCACAATCATTCATGTTCTTCAACAAATCGTGTTCTCATTACACAATAAAGTGAATGTGTTGTGTGTGTCTAATGCGTTGTGTGTGTGTCTTATGTGTTGTGCGTCTCTCAGGTGTATGCGGACGACTGCTGTGACCCCTGTCTCCTGGAGCTCCGCACTCACCTCCCCAAATACTACGGCACCTGTGCGTCTCCCGACAACCCCAGCGGTGAGACTTCAGAGACTGATACTGTTAGGGCTGTAACTCTCGGTTATTTAGTAATCAACAATTAGATCAATGATTATTATTGATTAATGAAGTTTATACCATGGTCTGCCGTGCATTTTTATCGTATATACACACACATAGTTCCGGTAAGTTTTTAAAATCACGCTCTATATCCCTCCACCACAGCTGTTGCCATAGTAACAGTAGCTGGATCAAACAAACTGTCAATCATGAGACAAACCATAGCAACTAATAGCGCCGGAAAACATGGATTTCGAGGTGAATTTTAACCTTCTTGGAGATAATAAAACCTTTGAGGAATAAGAAGAACCAATAAGAAGAACGACAAAAGCAACGATACTGGGAGTTAACCTCGGTAAATGTTAATGTTTTGTCTGCGTGTTAATAAAAGTAGTTCCCATTTCTCTTGACAACGGTTGCTAAGGCAAAAGTGTTGTTTTCAGACTTGTTAAATAATCCCTAAACTTAAAAGTGAAGAAATATTTGTTACACACTTGAATTCTCGGGACCATGGTATAAGCGGATTATACAACGAGGAGCAAAGTTTGTCGTTCAGATTCATTTCTTCCATAAAAGTCAAGAGTGTTTGTTTTTCTTGCTGCAGATCTTTACCTGAAACTGGAAGATGTGACGCAGCACTTCGATAAACCGTGCATCATGGACGTGAAGATCGGCCGACGCAGCTACGACCCCTTCGCCTCGCAGGAGAAGCGGGAGCAGCAGATCCGGAAATATCCACTGATGGAGGAGATCGGCTTTTTGCTGCTCGGGATGAGGGTGAGAATGAGGCCTGCGCAATATATCGAAAACATGTCGTTATTGTGATATCTATATAAAATAATATTGTTTTTAGACTGCTGTCGTTGTGTCTTGCCCAAGGACACAACGACAGCAGTCATCAGTGGGAGTCGTGAAGTAGGTCTTATGGTGGGCTTGAACCCACGACCTTCAGGCCCAAAGGCCAATGCTCTACCAACTGAGCTCCTGTCGCCCCATTGGTACGTTCCATATTCATTCATTCATTAATTTTCAAGCCCTTTATTGTCCATTTCTGGGTCAGGGGGGTGGCAATGAGAGCTGCCCCCAACGCTCATAGCACCAGTCCCTCTGATCCTCTGCAGGGGGTGGGTCCACAGGAAGATGGCTGCTCTGTCAGTGGTGAAACAGCCTTGGTCTTTCAGCGGGGGGCTTCAGGCAACGTGGGGTTAAGTGTCTTGCCCAGGGACACAACAACAGTAGACATCAGTGGGAGCAGTTGGAGTAGGTCCCATGGTGGGAATTGAACTCACGACCTCCAGGCTCAAAGGCCACTGCTCTACCAACTGAGCTACTGTCGCCCCCGGTACGTTCGATATCTATATAAAAAATATTGTTATCGTGATATTGGTACGTTCGATATCTATATAAAAAATATTGTTATTGTGATATTGGTACGTTCGATATCTATATAAAAAATATTGTTATCGTGATATTGGTACGTTCGATATCTATATAAAAAATATTGTTATCGTGATATTGGTACGTTCGATATCTATATAAAAAATATTGTTATCGTGATATTGGTACGTTCGATATCTATATAAAAAATATTGTTATCGTGATATTGGTACGTTCGATATCTATATAAAAAATATTGTTATCGTGATATTGGTACGTTCGATATCTATATAAAAAATATTGTTATCGTGATATTGGTACGTTCGATATCTATATAAAAAATATCGTTGTGTGGATATTGGTACGTGCAATATCCATTAAAAAAATATCGTTATCGTGATATTTGCTGAAAATACAGCTATATAGTCATAGTACACAATATTCTGTGGGTCTTGAAAAATCAGTAAAAAACCATCACAAACCACTGGCAATATGGGAGTTCCTGTTCTGAAATAGGCTGGCAGGCAATGAGTTAAAAAAAATATCGTGATCTTTGTATGTGCGATTTTTTATTTTTATTTATTAAAGACAACAAACAGACAAACACATCAACATTCAACAACAACAACAAACAAAAGTATATAATTATATACATTTGAATATCATTAATGTTGTGCTTATTTTTTGTCATTTATCTCTTGCGTTTCAATGCAGATGCAATTTTAAGTGAAAGACAAAAATATCACAATAATATCGTTATCGCGATACATAACACTCATATCAAATATCGCTCTAATATCCAGTATCGTGCAGTCTTAGTGAGAATCCAGTCTTTTCTGCTTCGGGGCCTCAGGGAGACGCCGGGACCTGCATCAGTCCATCGTAAGAGGCCTCCATAACATTTACAAATAAAGAGTTCAGATAAAAAAAAACACTTATCTCTGTTTTTAAATGTTGTCCAAAGATCTCATTCCTTCAGTCACTCTTCAACATGTTCCGTTTATGGTATTTGTGTAGAACGGGTGAAACTTTATCTGTATGGCACTAAAAAAGGCTTTTCACAAAACGACTGAGTAAAGAGAAAGTTGAAAGCTTTTCCGATATCTTGCTATGGCACTTAACTATTTTTATATAAACTATTCCATTTTTTTATTATTTTTTATTATTATTATTACCTTGGAAGTTCTGATTTTTAAAGAAATTACCCAAAAATACATATACCTAATTTTATAGAAACGATTGTCTTGCAAAATGCTGTGTCCTGTGTTTGTGGGTTAAGTTTCTTTTCAATTTTTAAAAAGAGAAACGGCCGAGCAGAAAACCAATACTGATCCACTCTAACTCATTTGTCAAGATGAGATTTAAAACAAACTTTCCACTAAGAAAACTATGTCTTAATTGTTATAAAATCTGTTTTTTTTACACCGGGCCCTTGCGGTAAAAACACAAGAATCCATCTATAATGATTTAGCTTCAGATCTAAAACAACCCAAGGACAATGTGAAACGTGACTAGTTTGATCCAGATTATGTTTAAAGGGGTGGTTAGCGCACCACAGTTTGAGAACCCCTGGTGTCGTTGCTCGCATGGCGCCGGCGAGGGCCCGGACCGCTCCCTTTCGGATTATCACGGGTCACACCTTGAACAATCGTCCGGTTTACCTTTGAGTATTGATCTTATAAACAGCGCTTGCTCCGCACCCACAGAAGTCCTCCATAAGTCAATGTTTAACTCTTCCTGGTGTAAAGTTTCAGCTTGTTTTTGAGCAAACAAAGAACGACCGGAAACTCTCGGAGCAGCAGCTCACTCCGGCTCCGCACAAACCAAACCCTTTTCACCAAAAGTTTTGATAACTTTTTATTTAGTTCAATGCCTTTCATTCATTCAGCAGCTCGGTGGCTGAGTGGTTAGCCCTCTCGCTTCTCAGAAAGAAGGCACTGGGTTCGAAATCCCGGTCGGAACAGGGCCTTTCTGAGTGGAGTTTGCATGTTCTCCCCGTGTCTGTGTTGCTCCTCTGACTATGCCTCCGTGAAGCAACGCCTGTGATAAAAAGAATAGATAGAGCCCGTGTGTGAGCTGCAGTTACTTCAACAGAGGATTGATTCTTCCTCAGCTGCACTCAGTCTACTTTCTACCCACTCTGTGCGATATACGCCAACTACTGGTCATGGGAGGAACTGCACTTAAAACAATATGAATAGTTACTAAGCAAAATAAAGTTCTCAATAACAAAATAAAAATGAGGGGTGCCTGTTAATCATTCAGTTCTGCGTAGGTTTCCTCAGGGTGCTCCGGTTTCCCCTACTACTAAAACATGTACAGTAGGTCTGGCAATTGTAAAGTACTTTATGACTCTGGTCTGAGAAAGGCGCTACATATATAAACATTACTACTTATGTGGGAAAGTGAACTTTTATCAAGGACTTTTAACTGCTTTTATTTGTGTGATGTGTTTTGTGTGTTTTTATATTTTTATTGCATGGATTTTAATCACTGTTCCCTGGACACTTCCCCTAACCCGCACCTGTTTTAATCAAGACCTTTTAATTGGGGGCGGGCACTGGAGGACGACAGGACACGGAGAGAGGAAGAGAGGAAGAGAGGAAGAGAGGAGGCCAGTCCAGGGGAGGAGGACACGGGACCGGGCCAAGGACAAGCACCGCCAGCCAGAGACCGCGGGGCGCTGAGGCCAGCGGGGTGCCGGCTCTCCCCCGCGGGTGCCTGGTGGCGACCCGTGGCCGGCGAGCGGCTGGCGAGACTGCGGCCCGGTCCCGGGACTGAGAAGAGCGGAGGCCAGTGGGGAGAAACGAGTGGACTGCGGGTTTTTTATCATCTTTTATGGATCCTTTTTGTATATATTTTATTAAATTTTATCCCCTTTTTATCTTCTTCCTGTTTTATTGATCACACCCCCTCAACAGACACTTTTTAACCTGTGACACTTACTTACATTAATTTTTATTCCCTTTTTATTAGTCCATTTCTGGGTTGGGGGCAATCAGAGCTGCCACCCGCCCCTCTCTGATGGTATGGTTTGGTATGGTTTGGTATGGTTTTTATTTTTACAGGGACAGTGTACAATAAACATTAGCCAGAAGGAGAGATGCATTGTACCAGGTTATAGCAGCAGTGCTAATTTACACCTGCCTTGGTCTTTCAGCGGGGGCTTCAGGCAAAGTGGGGTTAAGTGTCTTGCCCAAGGACACGACGGCAGCGTGGGGGGGGATCGAACCCAAGACCATCAGGTTCAAATCCTCTTCCAAATGAGCCACCGTCGCGCTCTCGTTAATCATCTGTTTGACGATCATATGAAGCTTGTATGCTGTGGTTTTCCATGTTTTTGGCGATTTGAATCTTATCCCAAAGGTTAAAGAACGTGGTAAAGTAGCAGTTCTCCCTGTGGGGCCGAGCCGGAGTCCAGATTGTAGATGACGAGGCCCCGACAGTGGGCACTCCTCCTCTGCCCGGGGTTTCGCTGAGTGGAGACATCGCCGAAGCAGATTAGATAGTGCACTTCCTGACGACTGAGAGAAGTGCGTGCCAGAAGCAAATCAAGGATGTTTTGTACCAATCTGTGCGGTTTGTTTAGATTCAGGACACGCCACAAGCCTCACGACTCTCCACAGTAAACACAGAGAGAGGGGCTGAGGCCAACGTGACCAGATTTATAGAAACATTTGACATGTACTTTGAAGGATAAAGTCGTAATTGAGATTTAAAAACGGCGTATTCATGAGTGGAATTGTCTGTTTCAGGTTTACAATGTTTCCAGTGACTCGTTTGACTCGTACGACCAGCACTACGGACGGAAGCTGCTGAAGGACACCCTTAAAGACGGTATGTTCTGGTTCTAGTGCGTCTCCATGGCAACGCTCACATACGCTTTGTCCAAAATACTCAAAATACTGGATGTGAACCTGTTATTATGATTATTATTATTATTGTGACGAATTACTGTAATATCTTCTCAATACAATAGTGTTTTTGGTTGTATTTGACTAAGATAATAATATAAACTTTATTGTCCCAAGAGAAATTGGCTGTAGGATTCACAGATCTGCATGGACACAAAAAAAATGCTGCTTTGAAGTCTCTGTTTGGTCAATCTATTCAGCATCAAAATGAAAACTAGGTCCTTGATAAAAATAAAAAATAAAAAGATACAAACAAATCAAAAATTCCCCGTGCAGGACGTGTTGGGGTCACTGCCCATTTTTGGAGGCTAAGAGTGTGGTCTGCTTGTAGATCTGCTGCAGGGAACTTGGATTCATCCTTCAGAGAGATCGCACTGAACCAGGCGCTGTCTGTGAAAATATTATAGTCTATTTACAATCAAAGTAGCTCAATTTCTACAACAATATACAATACTTGAATTGATTAGATGTTTCTAAAGAGTAAGTGGATGAGGACCATGGAGACAGAAAAGATAAAACAATCAAGTTAAATAAGTGTTTAATAATAATAATTATATATAATTATATAATTATTATGATAAAAGGAACCAACAGAAAGAGCCTTATTCTCAGAGGACCATATTTGGAGGCGCACAGCCCAGAGGTGAATGTCGGCCCCGTCCCAATACTCGCACTTCCACCCTTGCGCTCCTCATTTGCGCGTTCCCGATAAAGTGTGCGAGTGCGTAGGGTGTCCCAATTCTCCAGGGAGGTCTTTGGCCCCGCCCCCTTTGCGCCCCTGATCCACACTTCGCCGTAGCCTGCATCTATGCGCACTCTGGCGAAGGATATTGCCCATAATTCTTTTCGGTACACACCAAAACGTCGGGAAAATGCATTTAAATATACATTTTGAAATATATATGCAGTATGTGTGTAAATAAGTTTTGCTGTTACTTGGAAAGAAGCATAAACGTCTGATGAAGAATTACGGACATTGTGTTTTAACAATTTAATAACTTTTTAAAGCAAGAGTTCATATAACATTAAATTTACACTTAGTACAATAATCTTAGAATGTATAAAAACTGACCAGATAGTTAGTTACCTACATTTAACTTAAAATTATACAGCTATCTCTAATTAGAAACCACTAATATACATGTATTTTAACGTGTGTGAAGCAATTCATTTTGTTTCCCAAAGGGTCAGACAAAGTTTAGGTCTGAAAATGACCATTTCTTGACGAGTCGATGACGTAACCTGCACTCAGTGTGCACTGTCCCAATTCCGCCTTTTGAGCACGCTTGCAACCTGCGCACTCAAACCCTTGCGCGCACTTCAAACAAATGCACACTTCATAGGAGGGCGTAGGGTGCAGTGTGGGTATTGGGACTGGGCCGATATGATCCTTGTTTGACTGTTTTAACCTAAACTAAGGATGTATCCATCCCCAGGTTTGGCCAAATTCTTCTTTAATGGAGCCGTCTTCAGAAAAGACGCTGTGTCAAAGAGTATCGTAAAAGTGCAGCAGATCCTGCGATGGTTCGAGTCCCAGCAGCAGATGTGCTTCTTTGCCAGTTCTCTGCTGTTTGTGTACGAGGGTCAGCCTCCTCCTGCAGCTCTCCACAATCCTCTTCAAGACCAGACTCCGGCTCCAGCCGCGGCTCCAAAGGAGGAGCACACTGCAGAATACAACAACAACAACATCCAGGGGGCGCTGTCCTGGGACTACAGCCTGGACATCTGCACCAACCACAAGAGCCTGTGTCAGCAGCAGTGCACAGAGCAGCAGCCGAACCACAACCAGGAGGGGGCGGAGCCCGAGGCGGGCAGGACAGGAGGTGCACAGCCTGGAGCAGGCCCCACCGTGGAGGTGCGCATGATAGACTTTGCTCACGTGTTTCCCAGTGACACGCATGACGAGGGCTACATCTACGGCCTCAAACACCTGCTGAGCGTCCTCCAGCAGCTGCTGCAGGAGCCCGAGCTCCTCTGAGGCTCCTCAAACACCTGCTGAGCGTCCTCCAGCAGCTGCTGCAGGAGCCTGAGCTCCTCTGAGGCTCCTCTGAGGCTCTTCTGAGGCTCTTCTGAGGCTCTTCTGAGGCTCTTCTGAGGCTCCTCTGAGGCTCCTCTGAGGCTCTCTGCATTCACTGTTCATGGACCTGCAACTTTGAGTTTGGCTTTGAGGAAAGCAAAACCAGGAAAATATCCATCTTTTATTGATTTTTTAAAAACATAATTGAACTTTGTTTTAACATTTCCTGATTTTGTTTTTCTAAAGTCCTCTTCTGCCTTGTATCATCTCTGCTCCTCCAGCCTCCGTCTGAGCCATAAGGGCGACGCCCACCTCCAAACTCTCCTTCACCAAAGTCTGCTCCGAGCGTTCCCACTCGGCACTATCCAAGGCAAGAAGCTAAGAGTTTTTCAAATCTATTTTTTGCTTGAGTATAGACTATATTTTTTGAAGAGTAAGAAGAGGAATACGGTTTCTTGCCACACTTTGGTGAATGAGAGTTTGCTGCTGGACGGCGTTCTGTTTTCTCTGAAACGATATCAAGACCTGAGCCTTTTGCTCTTCTTTTTATTTCCAACCACTGTCGAGGTCTTTAACTCAGGTACATGTTATATTTTAATATTATTTTGATCCTTAAATATGTCGTTGATTCCTGTGATTAAGCTTCAGAGACCTTCAGGAGAAGCGTCCACACTAACTTTGAACCATCTTTTCTCTGACTCTGGAACAAGGTTTACAAGCTCCGTGCAAAAGGCCTCTCTGCAATTTCACTTTATCAAGAAGTTTGTGTATCCCTCGTTTTGAAACCTTTTCTACCACTTTGTCCGGGTCTTAAATTCGACTAACTTCTAGTTCTAATGTATTTTCTTTTAAAAAAGTTTATTATACACCAAAAATGGGTGATGTGCAAGAATACTTAAAAGAAGAATGAATGTTTCCCCTTCATACTTGGAGTGTGGTATAATATATAAATATATAATTGTATTTTTCTGAACTAAAGAATCCAGAGTAACAGATTATAACATCGTAGTGATGAGACCATTTTGCTCTTAAGTTTGTTAATCCAAATGCATTTGTTGGTGTGTGAGCGTTATGCCTCCACGCCCTGAGGTGTCGCAGTGAAAGACATGTACCGTTTACAGGTTTGTATTGTTCGGAAATATTATTATCATTATGGCAGCTTGACATTTCATCTTTTCTTTGACACTTGTGAGCACCAGGCCTGATGTGGAAGGGTTGGTTCTTGTGCACTTTATTCATGCAGAGTCATGTGACTGCCTCAAGCCACGCCCACATCTCCCTGACCCCCTGGTGTCCGCACAGTGGTCTTTGTATCAGAAGATTATCTGGAGGTTTTTGCCAGAACAGTCTCATCCAAACATTCTTTTTCTCACATGAATCATCTCAGCAATAAGCTGCTACAGGATTGTTCCATTTTCTCATTTGGATAAAAACACTACATCATAGACGCTTGAAGCAGAAAGCCCTGTTTCTAAAACAAAGCCATAGAGCTCTGACCGACACATGTCCTACTCAAACCTCTTGAGTTCAATATTTTATAAGAATCAGATTTGGGGAAACAGACTCCAAGTGTCACCCTCAGTGTGTTTGAGACGGGCCAGTCACTGCCAAATGAAAGGCTTAAAGCAAATACCTAATAATGTACATGTAAATAAAACTAGTCCTCTAATCCAACGTGTTGTTGTTTGTATAAAAAAGTATGAACTCAGAGCGTGGACTTTCATCTGACTCTGAAACAGATTTCCAACATATTCCCAAGAGAGCTACTTTTCTGTGACTAAAAGGACAGAGCTACTTTTCTGTGACTAAAAGGACAGAGAGCTACTACTTAAAGAATGAATTTACAATTTCTAAATGTCAGAATCTTGTCTTTTCTAAATCCTTTGGGCGCTGCATGAAAGGAGGTTGGAGACACTGATCCGACTAAATATTAACCACTGATAAAATCTTTGAGGAACATGTTTTGAGTTTTAATATTCATGAAATCGTGAAAGTTCCACAAATACTTTTAGAATTTATCAAAATCATGACAAACATCCAATAAATGGACAAACTGCGTTCATACATAAAACCACTAGGGGGCAGTATATGCTGCAGTTACTGATTATGTTTTCACTCATTTTTAAACGGGATCACTTTCCAGAAAGAAGATCCTGAAAGACCCGCGAACTCACGTCTGCAGCTTTAAAAAGACTTTTATGAAAGAATGAGTCTGTGCCTGAACAATAGTCAAAGCTGATGTGGTTTAAAGAAAGCTTCCTGTAATGCTCCTGCAGATTATTCATAATAAACTTAAGACAAAAACATAATTGCATTTATATTTGACTTTAATTTCCAGAAAATATAAATTTAAAAATATCATTTAAAAAGACATTATAAAAATATGATCACGGTTCCTTGTCCCACAAGAGAGAAAAAAAAAACACCAAAGGAAAGAGACAGAAGCAGTTTCAAAACCAACTTGGTCCAAGACCAGGATTGGACTGAAACAATATGTTCTTCATAAATAATGCCCAGGAACATCAGGTATAAAGGATGTCTCACATGTCACCAGAATGATTGACAGTTTTGAGGCCCAATAGTCGAGATGATCCACCCGGATCCTCCCATATACGTTAAGTTCAGTTATTCATGAGCAGTGAATGATTTTAAGACATTGTACAAACCAATGGAAGAAGAACACATCACTTCCTGCTGAAAGCTGCGGTCGTGTTCTGTGACTGTAACTTCTTTAAGGCCTGGGGGTAATACTTCAGAAAGATGCGGTGTGCGATCTCATACGTGTCGCCCTGAGGCATGCTGGGATACGAGTGGCCGTTGAAGACGAAGCCCCTCTCCACCTGAAACGCAGCCTGGTTGAAAGTATCTTGTTTGAAAGGCGTCCCGCTGTTGAGGCACTCCACCAGAGTGTTGATGAACAGAGCCCACCTCTGACCGTAGTAGTCCTCCATTAACCCGCCCCATTCTTTACTGGCGTAGTCCAGGATCTCGCCGCCGGGACCCCACAGGGTGAGCTGGTTACGGGCGTTCAGGTCAAACAGTTTGGCCTCGCTCTCGTCCACAGCGAGGGAGCGGGCCCTCTCCAGCCACACGCCCAACAGGAAGCCACGCTCACTGTTCAGGAGGCGGTTCAGCTCTGGGAAAAGGTCGTACACCAGCACGCCGCCCGCCGTCAGCACATCTGCCAACCTGTGTTTGTTAAAAGCATCAACAATGTCCTTGTAAAACAACGTTGTAATCACCTCCAGAACCTGCCGCGTGACGTCCACCAGGTCGTAGCGGAACGTCTGTTTGGACATGAGCGCGGGGGCGGCCTCCATCAGTAACCTCCAGGCCTCCAGGACGTCACTGGGATTGTACCAAAGCGCCGTGTTCATGTGGAGGGAGGGCCGGCGGACCAGCGGGCTGTGGTTGTGGTTTCGGTAATGGGCCTCAGTGCAGTTGTAAACACTGGAGAACAGCAGCGTCCAGGCCGTGCCCAGCTCCTTCTGTGTGCTTCCATAGCGGCGAATGGCGTACAGAGAAACCCATTTGGCCAGATTGACAGGCTCCTTACGCCAGGCCAGTTCACTCATGAGCTCGTAGATGACTGGATTCTGCTCGATGCCCTCCGGCGTCAGCCCTGTGCCAACCATCGTGGAGTTTGGGAAGTGCATGGCTTTGAAGGGCCCAGAGTTAATGCTCTCGACCGTGCCAAAAAAGCCACTGTTGCCTCCGAAGTTATGCAGCATGCACCAGATAAACGGCTGTCCATAGAACGATTCGGTGTAAGAGAAAATTGGTTCTGTCTCAGCAAACAAGTCGAGCACAATCATCCGTCCGAGCGGCACGCCCTGAAGTAAGGCCTGGATCTGGGCCGGCTTCCAGAAGGCAGCGTCACTGAAGAAGAGCCAGCCTTGCATGAGCCACACGGCCTGAGGGTCCACTGCAGACAACGGAAACACAAACACGTTCAACCCTGACTGAGACACTGTACAGCGGGGTGTCCAAACTTTAGTAAGAGGGCCACTTTAGTTCTTTTGACTTGACCTGGGGCAGAGATTTTTTTTAAATTGTAAACAAATAGACAATACAATACAAGTGTAGACGTACGGACACGTAGTGTGTGTGTGTGTGTGTGTGTGTGTGTGTGTGTATGGGTGCAAGTTCCTATTCTGCCAATTTGTGCATCCACCCATCACCCTCATTGCCCCGATTTTCCCTTCTTATTCGTGTCCCAGTTTGCGTACATGTGTCAAAAGTGGTGCATTAAAAAGGAAACTGTGGGAGGTTGTCTACTTGGTGCAGGGCTGCTAACAACAGAGTTAACGACTGGATTCCAGAGAGTCTGAGATTTACAACAAGGTATAGCAGGACTGTGTTGGTGGAGCTGAAGTTGCTTGGACCCTTTTGTGTTAGCAGCAGAGGGCCGCAATTGGCTCGTGGGCCTGAGTTTGGACATGCCGGCTGCACAGTAATCGTATAATAAATACATTTGTTCACGTTGTGCGTGTGTGTGGAGACTCACCGCTCGTCATGGAGCTGAAGACCGCACGACTGACGGACGAGAGGTAGCCCGGGTCAGAGGAGGGCGGAGTCATCTCGTTGAAGGTGTCCGTGTTGTAGATGTGATCGGTGCCAAACTGTTTTATGATTTGGGAGAGGAAAAGTGAACCGATCCGGAGAAAGAGTGGGTCTTGGGGGTCCAGGATGTAAGCGCAGGAGTAGCTGCAGTTGAACTGGGCCCACGGCCCCAGCCTCGTCACATTTGCATTTGGATACAATCTAAAAAACAAGAACTGTGAAGCTGTCGGGCGTTAACTCAATACATTTGTGTTTGTGACGTTTACCTCAAAATTCCTTTAGGGATATTTCCTGAAAAGGCGGGAAGGACTGGGATCATGCCCAGTGACCGCATCCTCTCCAAGATCTTGAACTACGGACAGTGAAGGAGAGTCATAACCTGAGGACCCCTGAGGACCCCTGAGGACCCCTGAGGACTTGTTAAGGTAACCGTTAAGGTAACGATGTGTGGGTTTGTACCTGGAGTTTGAGCTGCGTCACATGCCAGGACTGGGACAGAGGTCCTCCAAAGCGGAACAGGTTTCCCATTCGGTTCCAGGCCAGAAACGCTGGTCCAGAGAAAAACTCGTCCAACTCCGTCTGGTTAAGGCCCAAGGAGCGATAGACCTGGAAGAAAAAGATGAATGAACAAATTGTATTTTAGTTGAATCAATGGAAATACTACATTTTTCAAAAGGTATTTGTGTTCTGGCATCTTTACAACAGTTTAATACCTTCTTACACATGTGTACATTGTGTCGCTGTGTGAAAGAAAACTCTGGGACCATCACTAAACTAGGGGACGTAAAATGTTTCTGATGATTAGTCACAGTCAAAAAAATGACACTGAAATGTATGTCTAAATACAGGTTGGAAAAAAAGAACAGGACTTTTTTATGGGAAATGTATAAGGCCCCACAGTGAAACTCGCCCAGGGCCCCACAGTGGTGACGCCGCCCCTGCTTCATGACACATTAATATAATAATAATCTACCTCCAGCCACAGCGCCTCCTGCCCCGTGAACGCCAGGGGCAGGTTGATCCCGTTCAGGGCCATCCAGTCGATCTCCCGCTCCCACCGCGACCAGTCCCACCACACTGACGAGTAGCTGAACGTGCACACATTCTGGTAGTACCGGAACCTGCAAAGTACAACGTCACAACAGTGTCAAAAACTAAACAATGACAAAAACGAGGCCAAACTCATTCTAAATTTAACACATTTACAAATCATTCACTCGCAGCATTTCTGATTTGTGTGAAGTCAGATGTGGTTTCATTTTACAGGTTACAAAAGGGCAAACAAAAGTATAATCCTGTCGGTGGAAAATGCTGAAATCCACACAAACTCCAGAGGTTTAAGAGAAGAAAATAAGGAGAGTACGCAGCACTTGTTATTTGTACAGCGCTTTTCACAGAGATATAAAAATGGAAACGTAAAAATGTAGTTAAGATGAGTCCTCAAAGTCAGTCTCGAGATCAAAATAAAAGTAAAAGATCATTCTAAAGGTGCTACAGCTGGAAAAGACCGGTCACCATAAGTTTTAAAGCACATCTGAGGAACCATTACACAGTTCTGAGACGAGAACCTGGAGAACCTGAAGATCCGAGATTAGCTGTGAAGTCTATTCCGCTCTGAGATTTAAGAGGGAGCTTGTCCGAGGTCCAAAGAAGTCAACACCAGAATTTTAAAATGCAGACGATATTTAACAGACCGAGACCTCAGACCCTCCGCGCAAAGAACACTTCTTTTTGTACGCACCATGAATCTTGCAGATTTTTTTAACATTTTGCAACCGAGCTAGCTTTTGTTTTTGTCAAGGCAAGTGAAAAGGCTGATAGTTTAGGCCAGAGGTGTCCAAACTTTAGAGAGAGGGCCACTTTCGTTAACCAGACTCGTTCAAGGGCCAACGGATTTAAAAACTATTTGGACCGGGGCTTGGCAAATCTGAGTTTTAAAATGGGGTTTGATATTATGTCCATATCGATTCATATTTTACGTATTTTATTTTATTTTATCTTATTTTCATATTTATACATCGGTTTTTCATTTTAGATTTTTTACGATTTTAGTGTTTCACTATGGATTTGTTTTAATTAGTATTATATTGTGCAGCTCTTTGGACAGACACTGTGTTTATGAAATGTGCTCTATGAATGGCTGCATCATACAGTAGGTCCTAGGGCTGAAACAACTAATCGATTAATCGACGACTAATCGATTATTGAAATAGTCGACAACTATTTTAGTAATCGATTAATCGTTTTCTGGTTCACACGGACTCAAACAGAGCAAAAATGACATGAAAATGTAGTATTTTTGATTAAAACCGACTTTGTTTTTATAATTTCATGAATATCTGTCTGTCTCATCCAATCAGAGCAGAATTAGCACAAAGAGCCTGTTACAAACATTTACTTTAAGTTTACGCCTCAATACGTCCTCGAGTGTTGCCACTTTAGCTTTTTGTGATGAAAAAATATTTTTTTTCTACACAATTCACCGCCAAGCAATTACTCGATTAATCGTAAAAATAATCGATTACAAAATAATCGTTAGTTGCAGCTCTAGTAGGTCCCATTTCGTTTTGTCGTCTTCATTCACGCTTTTCATGAATCACGCAGCTGCGTGAAACATATTACATCCTATCGCCACTAGGTGGCAGGTTAAGTCCGCTTTAGCTCTGCCAGCGACTTAAACGCTCAGGTATTAAAGCTGCGTGCAAACGTTATGAGCCTAATGATACTATGTTGGCCGAATGGTTAGCGTTGCAGGTTAGGACCCGGTGGATCCGGGTTCGATTCTTGTCTGAGGCAGTTTTGGTTGCACACCTTTTGGTTGCTTGTGTGCAATTATGTAACGTTATCAGCTTGTTATCTTCTTTCCTTGTCAAAAGGAAATGTCATGTTGTAAAATTGGCATTTTTATTCCTGCAGTTTGGTTGGTGCTGATTGTGGAGTTGAATTCCAATTGTATTTAAAGTTTACATGTTTATCAAGCTCATAACAAAAGCAGTACAAGAGAAGTCCTGCTAAAGTTTGGACTTAAGTGATGTCTGCAGTCTGAATCCCTCTCTCAGTGTGAGTTGTGTGTTTTACAATAGCGACCGTTTGACAAACAAGACTGTGCCACAGCCCCCACCCCCCACCCCCCACCCACACCCCCACCCCCACCCCCACCCAGTGACGTGCGGTGAGGTTTTTTGCTCACTTCGGGCCAATCAAAACGCGGTTTAAAGTCAAAGGATTGACTCTGTAAAACACTGTACTAACTTACTGCACTGTATTGTAAGTACTGTAACAATACAATTGTATTTTACTTTATTACTTATTTTTACTTCTTATTTTTTAATAAAAACACTTCTTCTCAAAAGTTCCTTTCTGACATTGTCTACAGTATGGGATAGCCAGCAGCAAACATGCATTTTGACCGGGTGCTTCACTGGTGCTTCAAGATAAACTGGATTTTCGACATTCCTGTGGACTCGAGCCCTGGTCAATCTAGTTCAATACAGTTCAGTTCCTACGCAGCTTTAACTTGTGCGCTTGCCTTACCCAAACGTCCAGTCGATCGAACCAGCCTCAATCATACGAACAATTCCGCCTGTTTTTTTGGGTTCAAAGCTGAATAAATCAGGCTAGGCTATTAAAAAATCCCTCAGAAAAAACCTTCTAAATATTGTTACGTCCAAGACTGGAAAGTTTGGAGTCTGTATGAGCGACTACAGTATAAGGCACTGCATGAAAAGTTAGATTTTCGTCACCCTAAACGGCAGGAAATCACGCTCTTTTTCGGGTATCTCAGGCAGTTTTCAAAACGCGCAGTCCCTACTTTGCATATGAATGCAGCGAAACACTGCGGCCGCCGAGCGCTAATGGCCCTAATTAGCATATGAATGCAGCGGCTGCTTCAGAACTATTCAGCATTGGAGGATACCACTACTTTCAAACTCGTGATTGTCTGAAAAATCACACGTGGCCAGCCCACGTGGGATTACTCCCCATTGGATGAAGCTTACTCCCCATTGGATGAAATCACTACTTTCAAATAAGTATAATCTCTCATGATTGGCTGGCAGATCTGTCACTATTGGTCACCCTGCCTCATAATTAATGCAATGTATTAATTCATATTATGCTGCATATATTTTATCCTATGTAGGCTACTACACTATTATTAGGCCATCAATGACATGAATGAATTTATAGAGGAAATGAACATTTTCCAGGAATATGAATAGTAATAGTAATAGAATGAATAGTGGCAACACGTGCGTTAATGCCCCCAGCCATGTGTGACACCAGCGCGTTTTACAAGTTTACTACAGTCTAGCAACTATTTTAAATGTGTTGGCCTAATTACTAAGTATGTTTTAGAAAAAAAATTAAACGTCAACAAAATCAAAAGTGTCAAAGCCTGTACTAGAACCCAGGTCCTCTCGCACCAGAGCCTAGCTCCTTATCATTGAGCTATAAAGCCACAGAAAACTGTCCGGTGAAGAGAGAAGAAAGAGCGGTGAGAAGCCAATGTTCCTAACCCTGCTCACAAGTGCCACCTGGTGGTTGTTTGGGTCATTGCAGCATCACTGGGGAAAAAATAAAAGACGCGTGTTTCACACGTGAGTCTCGTGCTATTCACGCGTGAAAAGCGACAAAACGAAATGGGACCTACTGTACATAGACTTTAGTGACACAATCGAAAACAAATGTCATTATGAATAAATACTGCTGACGACTGGATTCCAACGGTTCCGAGCTTTACAACAAGGTACAGCATGACTACATTGTTTGAGCTAAAGCTGGCTGGATGATGCTGTAAAAGTGCCTCAATGGCTACTTGGTGTTAGCAATGCAGAGGGCCACATATATTATCACAGAGGGCCGCATTTGGCTCGCGGGCCTTGGCTTGGACACCAGCCGTGGGGAGACAAAAACCTCGGGCCGCTGCTTCCAGGTCCTCCCTAAACGCTGCGGTTCTGATTTTGCCGATATTGCGTCGCTGGAAAAAGCCGTTTTGGGGTTTTAAATGCATGTCTGCCTTTTCAGCACAACAGAAGCACATGTGACATAACTGAGAGGAGATGAGGCGGCACTAATGCTAAACAGCCAACACTTAAAGGGCCCATCATGTTCGTTACTAATTACATGCCGTGTACGCTTGTATTTGGGTTGGGGTTAAATGTTGAAATGGAATTTAACTCGGCGGGCTCATTTTTTGCACGATCCACAAGGACATCGAGCTTTACGTGTCATGAGAATGTTTACAAACCGAGGGTGTGCGAACAGACCCCGTTGTGGGCGCCTGGCACTGGGCCCGAACACAGTGAATGACTTGAAAGAGGCCGTTTTGCTGAGCTCGTCTGAATTAACCGGTGGAGTATTCCCGCTGCCATCTACTCCCACCAACTGTCATGTCCATCTCACACCAAGGACGGAGCAAAACATCCCAAACATGTTTTTCAGTCGAGTGAAGTAAACAATCTCCGGCTGAACACAGCAAAAACATGTGAACTTGCTTTTGATTTCAGTCGCAACAGTTCTCACGTCTGTTGTTATTGATAACGCCCAGGGACAGATTGTAAAGGAAGTGCAAGTTTCTGGGTTTAACTCTGTCAAAACGACCTGAAATGGGACAAAAACACGAACCGGGTTGTCAAGAAAGCTCGTCAGCGGCTCTACGTTTTATGGAGAGTTTTCCAATAACTCTAAAATTCTGTTTAACTTTTATCGCTGCACCATTGAAAGTTTGCTTGTTGGTTCTGTGAGGTTTGGAAACATCACAGACAAAGAAAGGGAAGCTCTATACAAGGTGCTCCGGTCTGCAAAGAGGACTGTGAGACCAGGGAGAGACCAGAGAGAGACCAGAGAGAGAGACCAGAGAGAGACCAGAGAGAGAGACCAGAGAGAGAGACCGGAGAGAGACCAGAGAGAGAGACCAGAGAGAGAGACCTGAGAGAGAGACCAGAGAGAGACCAGAGAGAGAGACCAGAGAGAGACCAGAGAGACACCAGAGAGAGACCAGAGAGAGACCAGAGAGAGAGACCAGAGAGAGACCAGAGAGAGAGACCAGAGAGACACCAGAGAGAGACCAGAGAGAGACCAGAGAGAGAGACCAGGAGAGAGAGAGACCAGAGAGAGAGACCAGAGAGAGAGACCAGAGAGAGAGACCCAGAGAGAGAGACCAGAGAGAGAGACCAGAGAGAGACCAGAGAGAGACCAGAGAGAGAGACCAGAGAGACACCAGAGAGAGACCAGAGAGAGACCAGAGAGAGAGACCAGAGAGAGAGACCAGAGAGAGACCAGAGAGAGAGACCAGAGAGAGAGACCAGAGAGAGAGACCAGAGAGAGAGACCAGAGAGAGACCAGAGAGAGACCAGAGAGAGGACTGTGAAGTTCTTTATGAATCCAGACTTTTAAACTCAGCTCTTAAAATCCTCAATAACTCTTCTTGCCCCCGGTAAAGCCATGTTCCAGCTTCTTCCCTCTGGCAGAAGATATCAGTCGCTGAGATGCAAGACATCTCGCTATGCTAACAGTTTCTTTCTACAAGCTGTTAGGTGTCTGAACAGAGCACTTTAATTGTTGTTTTTACCCCTTGTATTGTTTTCTTTGTCGATTGGTGCCATAGTCTCAGCAGCTTTTATTTATGTTCATGTGCATTTATAGTACATTGTATTGTGCTCTGTATTCTGTCGGTACACAGAGTACCTTTTTGTGCAAATGTATTTTAATGTGGTTTTTATACAGCACATGGCAGATAAAATGAATCTGAATCTGTCATGTCCATCTGCAAAGAGGATCCAGCCGTCACTGTTTGAATGAACTGTAATAAGTCAAAACACAACAATAATCTTTTCTTAAAGATAACACAATACTTCATAAACACAAAACATGAACATTTTATAAAGGCTCAGTAGGGATTTGTCACGGGACTGTAGGAAAGATTTGTTGATTAAAATATATATTGATCCTTGTGAAATTATTTTATAAATCCTGTCATTTTGTTGGAATGGAGTCTGCACAGGAGTCTGCGCAGGGGTCTGAGTCTGCACAGGGGTCTGAGTCTGCACAGGGGTCTGCACAGGGGTCTGAGTCTGCACAGGGGTCTGAGTCTGCACAGGGGTCTGAGTCTGCACAGGGGTCTGAGTCTGCACAGGGGTCTGAGTCTGCACAGGGGTCTGAGTCTGCACAGGGGTCTGAGTCTGCACAGGGGTCTGAGTCTGCACAGGGGTCTGAGTCTGCACAGGGGTCTGAGTCTGCACAGGGGTCTGAGTCTGCACAGGGGTCTGAGTCCGCACAGGGGTCTGAGTCCGCACAGGGGTCTGAGTCCGCACAGGGGTCTGAGTCCGCACAGGGGTCTGAGTCTGCACAGGGGTCTGCACAGGGGTCTGAGTCTGCACAGGGGTCTGAGTCTGCACAGGGGTCTGAGTCTGCACAGGGGTCTGAGTCTGCACAGGGGTCTGAGTCTGCACAGGGGTCTGAGTCTGCACAGGGGTCTGAGTCTGCACAGGGGTCTGAGTCTGCACAGGGGTCTGAGTCTGCACAGGGGTCTGAGTCTGCACAGGGGTCTGAGTCTGCACAGGGGTCTGAGTCTGCACAGGGGTCTGAGTCTGCACAGGGGTCTGAGTCCGCACAGGGGTCTGAGTCTGCACAGGGGTCTGAGTCTGCACAGGGGTCTGAGTCTGCACAGGGGTCTGAGTCTGCACAGGGGTCTGAGTCTGCACAGGGGTCTGAGTCTGCACAGGGGTCTGAGTCTGCACAGGGGTCTGAGTCTGCACAGGGGTCTGAGTCCGCACAGGGGTCTGAGTCCGCACAGGGGTCTGAGTCCGCACAGGGGTCTGAGTCTGCACAGGGGTCTGAGTCTGCACAGGGGTCTGAGTCTGCACAGGGGTCTGAGTCCGCACAGGGGTCTGAGTCCGCACAGGGGTCTGAGTCTGCACAGGGGTCTGCACAGGGGTCTGAGTCTGCACAGGGGTCTGAGTCTGCACAGGGGTCTGAGTCTGCACAGGGGTCTGAGTCTGCACAGGGGTCTGAGTCTGCACAGGGGTCTGAGTCTGCACAGGGGTCTGAGTCTGCACAGGGGTCTGAGTCCGCACAGGGGTCTGAGTCTGCACAGGGGTCTGAGTCTGCACAGGGGTCTGCACAGGGGTCTGAGTCTGCACAGGGGTCTGAGTCTGCACAGGGGTCTGAGTCTGCACAGGGGTCTGAGTCTGCACAGGGGTCTGAGTCCGCACAGGGGTCTGAGTCCGCACAGGGGTCTGAGTCCGCACAGGGGTCTGAGTCTGCACAGGGGTCTGAGTCTGCACAGGGGTCTGAGTCTGCACAGGGGTCTGAGTCCGCACAGGGGTCTGAGTCCGCACAGGGGTCTGAGTCTGCACAGGGGTCTGCACAGGGGTCTGAGTCTGCACAGGGGTCTGAGTCTGCACAGGGGTCTGAGTCTGCACAGGGGTCTGAGTCCGCACAGGGGTCTGAGTCTGCACAGGGGTCTGAGTCCGCACAGGGGTCTGAGTCTGCACAGGGGTCTGAGTCCGCACAGGGGTCTGAGTCTGCACAGGGGTCTGCACAGTGCTTACCTATGCGGGCTGGCGATGCGCAGCACCCCGCTGAGCTTGGGCAGGGGTCGGGGCAGGTCCAGCTGGTCTCCAGACCAGGACACGTGACAGTTGCAGAAGTATTTGAGGTAGTTGTAGAGTCCAGAGGCTACAGCCACAGCACTGCTGCCGGTGACCACCACCGTGTTGTTCCTGGAGGAGCGGAGCTCGCACACGTCCAGACTGTCGTTGGACAGACTCTTGTTCACGGACACGATAAACTCTGCTGCTCGGACCCCGAGGACCCTGCGGAGCAGCCCGTTCACAGCCGCCGTCTGCGCCTCCTCTGTGCGGGCCGGTCGGAGCGCCTCCAGGCTGGGGAAGGAGGGCTGTGATGTCACACCCCCGCACAGAAGCAGCAGGACAGAGCTCCACACGCAGCAGGAGAGCATTTTCACCCGAGATCAACACTCACGCTCCGCAGCCGCTCGCTCCACAACATTTCCCACTTTCACCAAACCAGGAAGTGACCATAGACCAATCACAGACAGGCCCGCCCGCGCAGGCAGCCAATCACAAGCCCCCAAACTTTCACCTCTCATGTGAGCGATCATATGATGTGACTCACGATCATATGATGTGAGCGATCATGTGACACAGTCTGTAAAGTGTCTGTATACAGACAGTCTGTATCATGGTCTGTATACAGTCTGTCCGTATACTGTCTGTCTGTATACAGACAGACAGTATACTGTCTGTCTGTATACAGTCTGTATACAGACAGACAGTATACTGTCTGTATACTGTCTGTCTGTATACAGACAGTATACAGTCTGTATACTGTCTGTATACAGACAGTATACAGACAGTATACTGTCTGTATACAGACTGTATACAGACAGTATACAGTCTGTCTGTCTGTATACAGACAGACAGACTGTATACATAGTTCCCACAGACCAATGAATGTCACATGACCTCCTCGGAGACGCCATCTTTGATGGCACGCTGCTGTGTTTGTGCATTCCATTAAACAGAAGAATGAGAATAAATGTAGATATTCAAACACAAATTGGAAAAAAAGGGCAACTTTTGAGCAAATAATTGTATATTAATACAATGGCACCACAGTTTAACGTGCTACGGACATGTTTTACATATTTGATCAAATTATGCAGCAAAAATTAACAAGCAATGCAAACATTTCTCAAAAACTTTAGATTTAATACCAGTTGGAGCTCCATTTAATTATTTTAATTATATTAACAATTAATTTAATTAATGCTAATGCCACACGGACACTCTGGATTGCTGTTATTGTTTATTTCCGCGTTTTTGACCGTATGTTTTGGTGAATGGTGGGCAACTGATTTTTCCAGGCGTAAAGAGCAGTTTATTTTATGACACAGATCTTTTTACAGAAGCAATGCTGTTTGTGAACATTGTTTTAGCCCACCATAGAACTATTATTATCTATTTAATACATTTACGTTGCCCTCGAGAGCCTCGGACGCGACACCGATCCTCCTCATAATAAAGTAATCTAAATAATGAAACTCTCAAGTTACCAGCTATCAGCATACACAAGTTAGTACTGAGTAAATTACGTCTGTCAACACATTATAAGATACGATACGCACCTGACACAAAGTGCTCTGAGCATATTCTTGCGTGTTTTGAGGGAGTTTCTTGCCTGTTTATCTTCGCAAGCCATAACCTCCGTGGTTGTTCTGACAAAAGCTTAGTCTTCTCACATTCATGAAGTCTAATGATGGGTATACTGTAAAATCCAAGTTTAACGGAACCTCCGGCACGATTTGAACATCCATTGACCCAGCAGGAGACGACCATTTTCAACTTTATCACGACATTAACACGTTTCAGCTTCTTTTTCTATTGTTTTGCCCACAGAATGCCAACACCAATGGTGCCGGGTCGGCAAATCCCCGTATGTAGTGACGTCATGTGGGAACTATGTATAGAGGGATCCTACGGTCACGTGACTAGCAGCCAGGGCAGCCATACTGGAGGACAACCTCGGCGAGTAACAGCCCTGCTAGCTCTCTATAACTGGACGTTCAAAACTAGAACTCTCTCGAACTACATGAAAACTGAACAGAGAATTTGAAACTTCAGCAGTTAGTGACCCAAATATATACTCAACCTAAATTCATGAATCAGATCCTCTGAAAATGCATCCTAAAATGTATTATTAATGTTTATCGTTACATCCAGGTTTACCGCGGTCGCATATTGTCGCATTAAAACAGTGTTTTTTCATGAAAACGTGAACAGAACATTCTGAAAACCTCTGTGCACGTGTATTAAGAATGTATATGTATAATGTATTCTCCGATTAACATTTAATGTGTTTATTGTTACACCATGGATCTATGTGTGGCTACACTGCAGTGGAAATAATGAGATTACATTCAAATCAATGGAGCTTTCTGCGTCTACTGTGAGGAGCCGTATATTTTATTAATAAATACTAGTACGGGGCACCCTGGAGCACGGCTCAGTCGTTCACATGTCTGCTGGCCTTCGGTAAGTCAGATACCCTGTGAACCGGGTCAGGTCCTGTGTGAGACCAAATATATAACAGCTATGCTACAAGCTAAGCTACAGTCTATGCAACAAGCTAAGCTACAGTCTATGCTACAAGCTAAGCTACAGTCTATGCTACAAGCTAAGCTACAGTCTATGCTACAAGCTAAGCTACAGTCTATGCTACAAGCTAAGCTACAGTCTATGCAACAAGCTAAGCTACAGTCTATGCTACAAGCTAAGCTACAGTCTATGCTACAAGCTAAGCTACAGTCTATGCTACAAGCTAAGCTACAGTCTATGCTACAAGCTAAGCTACAGTCTATGCTACAAGCTAAGCTACAGTCTATGCTACAAGCTAAGCTACAGTCTATGCTACAAGCTAAGCTACAGTCTATGCTACAAGCTAAGCTACAGTCTATGCTACTAAGCTAAGCTACAGCTAGCAGTCTATGCTACAAGCTAAGCTACAGTCTATGCTACAAGCTAAGCTACAGTCTATGCTACAAGCTAAGCTACAGTCTATGCTACAAGCTAAGCTACAGTCTATGCTACAAGCTAAGCTACAGTCTATGCTACAAGCTAAGCTACAGTCTATGCTACAAGCTAAGCTACAGTCTATGCTACAAGCTAAGCTACAGTCTATGCTAAGCTAAGCTACAGTCTATGCTACAAGCTAAGCTACAGTCTATGCTACAAGCTAAGCTACAGTCTATGCTACAAGCTAAGCTACAGTCTATGCTACAAGCTAAGCTACAGTCTATGCTACAAGCTAAGCTACAGTCTATGCTACAAGCTAAGCTACAGTCTATGCTACAAGCTAAGCTACAGTCTATGCTACAAGCTAAGCTACAGTCTATGCTACAAGCTAAGCTACAGTCTATGCTACAAGCTAAGCTACAGTCTATGCTACAAGCTAAGCTACAGTCTATGCTACAAGCTAAGCTACAGTCTATGCTACAAGCTAAGCTACAGTCTATGCTACAAGCTAAGCTACAGTCTATGCTACAAGCTAAGCTACAGTCTATGCTACAAGCTAAGCTACAGTCTATGCTACAAGCTAAGCTACAGTCTATGCTACAAGCTAAGCTACAGTCTATGCTACAAGCTAAGCTACAGTCTATGCTACAAGCTAAGCTACAGTCTATGCTACAAGCTAAGCTACAGTCTATGCAACAAGCTAAGCTACAGTCTATGCAACAAGCTAAGCTACAGTCTATGCTACAAGCTAAGCTACAGTCTATGCTACAAGCTAAGCTACAGTCTATGCAACAAGCTAAGCTACAGTCTATGCTACAAGCTAAGCTACAGTCTATGCTACAAGCTAAGCTACAGTCTATGCTACAAGCTAAGCTACAGTCTATGCAACAAGCTAAGCTACAGTCTATGCTACAAGCTAAGCTACAGTCTATGCTACAAGCTAAGCTACAGTCTATACTAAAAGCTAAGCTACAGTCTATGCTACAAGCTAAGCTACAGTCTATGCTACAAGCTAAGCTACAGTCTATGCTACAAGCTAAGCTACAGTCTATGCTACAAGCTAAGCTACAGTCTATGCTACAAGCTAAGCTACAGTCTATGCTACAAGCTAAGCTACAGTCTATGCTACAAGCTAAGCTACAGTCTATACTACAAGCTAAGCTACAGTCTATGCAACAAGCTAAGCTACAGTCTATGCTAAAAGCTAAGCTACAGTCTATGCTACAAGCTAAGCTACAGTCTATGCTACAAGCTAAGCTACAGTCTATGCTACAAGCTAAGCTACAGTCTATGCTACAAGCTAAGCTACAGTCTATGCTACAAGCTAAGCTACAGTCTATGCAACAAGCTAAGCTACAGTCTATGCTACAAGCTAAGCTACAGTCTATGCTACAAGCTAAGCTACAGTCTATGCTACAAGCTAAGCTACAGTCTATGCTACAGCTAAGCTACAGTCAGCTAAGCAGCTACAGTCTATGCTACAAGCTAAGCTACAGTCTATGCTACAAGCTAAGCTACAGTCTATGCTACAAGCTAAGCTACAGTCTATGCTACAAGCTAAGCTACAGTCTATGCTACAAGCTAAGCTACAGTCTATGCTACAAGCTAAGCTACAGTCTATGCTACAAGCTAAGCTACAGTCTATGCTACAAGCTAAGCTACAGTCTATGCTACAAGCTAAGCTACAGTCTATGCTACAAGCTAAGCTACAGTCTATGCTACAAGCTAAGCTACAGTCTATGCTACAAGCTAAGCTACAGTCTATGCTACAAGCTAAGCTACAGTCTATGCTACAAGCTAAGCTACAGTCTATGCTACAAGCTAAGCTACAGTCTATGCAACAAGCTAAGCTACAGTCTATGCAACAAGCTAAGCTACAGTCTATGCTACAAGCTAAGCTACAGTCTATGCTACAAGCTAAGCTACAGTCTATGCTACAAGCTAAGCTACAGTCTATGCAACAAGCTAAGCTACAGTCTATGCACAACAAGCTAAGCTACAGTCTATGCTACAAGCTAAGCTACAGTCTATGCTACAAGCTAAGCTACAGTCTATGCTACAAGCTAAGCTACAGTCTATGCTACAAGCTAAGCTACAGTCTATGCTACAAGCTAAGCTACAGTCTATGCTACAAGCTAAGCTACAGTCTATCTAAAGCTAAGCTACAGTCTATGCTACAAGCTAAGCTACAGTCTATGCTACAAGCTAAGCTACAGTCTATGCTACAAGCTAAGCTACAGTCTATGCTACAAGCTAAGCTACAGTCTATGCTACAAGCTAAGCTACAGTCTATGCTACAAGCTAAGCTACAGTCTATGCTACAAGCTAAGCTACAGTCTATGCTACAAGCTAAGCTACAGTCTATGCTACAAGCTAAGCTACAGTCTATGCTACAAGCTAAGCTACAGTCTATGCTACAAGCTAAGCTAAGCTACAGTCTATGCTACAAGCTAAGCTACAGTCTATGCTACAAGCTAAGCTACAGTCTATGCTACAAGCTAAGCTACAGTCTATGCTAAAAGCTAAGCTACAGTCTATGCTACAAGCTAAGCTACAGTCTATGCTACAAGCTAAGCTACAGTCTATGCAACAAGCTAAGCTACAGTCTATGCTACAAGCTAAGCTACAGTCTATGCACAAGCTAAGCTACAGTCTATGCTACAAGCTAAGCTACAGTCTATGCTACAAGCTAAGCTACAGTCTATGCTACAAGCTAAGCTACAGTCTATGCTACAAGCTAAGCTACAGTCTATGCTACAAGCTAAGCTACAGTCTATGCTACAAGCTAAGCTACAGTCTATGCTACAAGCTAAGCTACAGTCTATGCTACAAGCTAAGCTACAGTCTATGCAACAAGCTAAGCTACAGTCTATACTACAAGCTAAGCTACAGTCTATGGAGCAACCCCACGTTGCAGTCAGACAGATATGTTTTATCCTTAAACTTCTGTTTGTTTTGGAATAATACTAAATCCGCCATCAAATTGATTTCACTTAGCAGAAATGAAATGATCCGAGCATATTCGGGCGCTCTGGGGGCTATTAGTTTTTTGTTGTTGCGTATGGTTGTGCCATTTCTCTCTCGTTTCTTTGAGATTTCTTCTGTTTTGGAGCCGTGTGAAGTAAGGACGGCTGCAGTCGGTAACAACTTATTTTCCCTGTCTCTCCTTTTGCTGCAGCCAAAAACGGCAAAAATGTTGAACATGTGTATGCAGTCCCGGGTGCACGCCACTATCATACAGCGTTTGCTTGTCCTGCAGTATGTTCGAGGCATCGTGACGTCACGTGAGATATCTCTATACAGTCTGTCTGTATACAGTCTGTATACAGTCTGTCCGTATACAGTCTGTCCGTATACAGTCTGTCCGTATACAGTCTGTCTGTATACAGTCTGTCCGTATACAGTCTGTCCGTATACAGTCTGTCCGTATACAGTCTGTCCGTATACAGTCTGTCTGTATACAGTCTGTCCGTATACAGTCTGTCTGTATACAGTCTGTCTGTATACAGTCTGTCCGTATACAGTCTGTCTGTATACAGTCTGTCCGTATACAGTCTGTCCGTATACAGTCTGTCCGTATACAGTCTGTCTGTATACAGTCTGTCTGTATACATACTGTATACAGTCTGTATACAGTCTGTCCGTATACAGTCTGTATACAGTCCGTATACAGTCTGTCCGTATACAGTCTGTCCGTATACAGTCTGTCCGTATACAGTCTGTCCGTATACAGTCTGTCCGTATACAGTCTGTCCGTATACAGTCTGTCCGTATACAGTCTGTCCGTATACAGTCTGTCTGTATACAGTCTGTCTGTATACAGTCTGTCTGTATACAGTCTGTCTGTATACAGTCTGTCCGTATACAGTCTGTCTGTATACAGTCTGTCTGTATACAGTTTGTATACGGACAGACTGTATACAGTCTGTAGATGACCGCGTAAAAGAAACCTTTTTACTCATATGAAAAATGTTTGGTCTCTCTTAAACATATGGCTCCAGACCATAGACTGTATATATTATCCAGACACAAGGATTCCCATATAAAATGTTTATTCATGAAAATATAAACTGTTCCACAATGCTATACACAGTAATTGAACAACACAGATTATCTGGTGGGACGGACATTAAAAGCTATGTAGCCTGCAGCCTTTGACAATAACATCTTTACAAGGGACAGTTCTTATCTGGATTAACGTCTATAAAAGAGGACAAACTTTGACCCTAAAGGGACACTTGACTGAAACATGTTTTATTAGTAACTCAAATGAGAGGCTTGTGGTTGGATCATTTTAACGTGTTAACTTTAAACAAGGTCATATTCACTGCAGGTTTAGAGGTTTAGGCTACAACACAAAGCAAAGGCACAGAAATAAGCAACAATACAATGTAATGCTGTGTTTTTGGTATACTCAGAATAGACCTGCAAAGGGGGTTTCAGAGGCAACATTATTAGACTTATTTCCTGAGGTTATCTGGTAGGCCTATGTCTAATGTACAGGACTTCATGTGGCGTCAACAGGCCAGGGCATTATCCCAGTTTTTCTGCCACTGGTTTCATTGGAGGTCACAAGCATAATATATCTCAACACATGCGGTTTCTACACTCAGTTATTCCATTAGATAAGAAACTAGTTGCAAAATGGACATCGGTGCAAGAGTTGGACATGCAGTGTTTTCATTCACTGACCCGATTAGTAATAGTAAAAGTATTCTAATGTCAAAAAGGCGTTCATGCATTTACATTGGAAAAGTGGGTAAAATACAAGAATAGGAAATAGAGTTTTTTTGTTATCTATAGTTATTTCGGGCCATGTTAAATTCTGCAATTCCCAAAACAAGCACTTGGCGGTTTCATCATTCACAGCTGTCCTTGATGCTATACGACAGGATTTTAAGTCATTTGTGATTTGTAGACAGATTGAATTAACTCAATAATACACCATTAATTGGACAAACTCATACATTTAGCGTTTGGATGGAGAAACAGCAATACAAAAGAAAAATATGTTTTGTTCCCAGCTCACAAACTTAAATCAAGAATATCATACAAAAACAAAATGCAGTAATGGCAAAAACCTATTAGTAAATCCATGACAAAGACCTGAGAGGACAAATAGCTGGCGTTATTTTACACAAAGATGGCCCGGCTCAGGACTGCTGGTTTCCCCACTGGTTTGGCATCGGCCGCCGGAGCAGCTCCTCCACGTGAAGGGCCACATCCATGGTGTCCTCCAGGTCAAAGTCTCCTTCAGCGTCCAGCATGGCCTCGGTCCTGAGAGAGCACAGGGTCACAGAGGGGAGCTCAAACACAAGCTGAAGGGGGCAGTACGGACATGTTTCAACCCGCACGGAAAGAGCTAGCATGCGAACTCATATTTCTGGAGGGTAAAACAAACCGGTCTCACAGATTTCTTATTATCAACAACTCGTTTGATATGTTCCAGTCTGGCTTTAGACCCCCCCAGGACCATGAGATCCTCAAACAGACACAAGAGGACTGAGTTTGTGTTTATGGTACCGTCCTAAGTTGGTTTAGGTCTTACCTTGAAGACAGGAAGTACTTTGTGGAGATTGCAAACAAGAATCAGGTTAGATCATATAACCCTGACCTGTGGAGTACCACAGGGGTCGATCCTGGGACCTCCTCTGTTCAATCTCTACATGTTAGTACATGTTACCGCGTATAAACGGACTACGCAGATGACGCTCAGATCTATGTCTCTGACTGCAGGAGAACATGGACCCGTGGACTTCTTCACTCAATCAAACAGATTAGTGAGTGGTGAATGAAAACAACTTCCTTGAGCTAAACACAGACATAATCTCTGCTGCTGCTGGTGCTGCTGGTGCTGCGGACAGAGCTGCGTTTGGAGGTAACGCAATGTAAACACTCACATGGGGGACAACACTTCTAGCTGTCATGTGTGTAAACCAAGCCCCAGTGATCCAAGATGGCGCCGTATTTAAATGAATGGTTTGTGATCAGTGGCGCATGTGCCGGAACGGGCGCTGACATATTAGCGGAACTCGCCATATCACTCGCTATATTTGGGCATCGTCTGGTCCTCCCGGTTGCGCCAAATACTTGTGTGTGGGTCTCATGCACGTGCACAGAGGGGCTTACATGGAGGGGTACACAGTGAAGCTGCTGGGATGTCCCACAGAAGGTGATGTTGTCTGGTCCATAAGGATGGGGGGTTCAGGGTTCGGGCTGGTGAATCTGACAAAGACAAAAAAGAATTGTCTAAATGATGTAGATGAGAACATACATTACTCAACAGCTTGTTCACCTTCATGATAATACAACATTTATGACATCTATATTCCCTACTAAGACTTTTATAACAGAGAAAATAATAATATACTCACTCTGGGACAACCTGTTTAATCTGCGGTTTGACGTATCCATCGACTGGGGCTTTGGCTGGAAAATAATGAGTGGTTGTTGTTCATAATCTGTGTCAAATGCATTTAAGCTAAACGTTATGTACGTACAGATTGGGGGGGTGTAGTACTTGGCAAACACATCGTTCTTGGGCTTGTCCGGGTACAGGAACAGCAGGTGGTTGAGGTCGCTGATGCGGTCGGCCAGAGAGCGAATGGAGAAGTCCTTGGTGGTGTAAGGCAGCAAGTTCCAGACCAGCCTCTCTCCTGTTCCAACACACAGCAATTAGCAATGTAGCTATAAAAGATCTAATCACTGTGGTTATTTCACAACACAAAAACTAAACTGTTTCTGTCCTCATTTTGTGATTAAATGGACCCTTTGTCTTGGTCACCCACCTGATTTGCTCGGGTTCTCTGCTACCCAGGCAATAGTAATGCCTCCAATCTCTGAGTCACTGAAGCGAAGGAGAAAGGTCCCGTTGGGTTTGGACAGAAGCATGTCCTGAGCCTGCTGCTTGTTGACAAACCCTAAAATGGCTCTAAATAAAAAGACAGTTACAACAATTAAACATTATTTAAAGTAATGTGTAAGATTTACATGTCTAGTCATTGTTAAAGGGCCCTAATCTGTCATCATTAAAAGGACCCTAATCTGTCATCATTAAAGGGCCCTAATCTGTAGTCATTAAAGGGCCCTAATCTGTAGTCATTAAAGGGCCCTAATCTGTAGTCATTAAAGGGCCCTAATCTGTCATTAAAGGGCCCTAATCTGTCATCATTAAAAGGACCCTAATCTGTCGTCATTAAAGGGCCCTAATCTGTCATCATTAAAGGGTCCTAATCTGTCATCATTAAAGGGCCCTAATCTGTCATAATAATAAACTGCTCTTTTCCAATCCTTCTTTAACTGATAACAGTAGTTCAGAGATATTTGAATTTCTAAATTACTTTTCCAGCCTCTGAATCTTGTTATTGTTTTCATTTGGATGTCCCGCCCTCCACCGTTTCACCAATCAGAAAGTCTGTGATCCGGGCGCCAGAACTCACCGCGTGGAGCTAATCTCACTGGTAAAGTACCATGTGGCGCAGAACTAAAAAAGGTCTCGTTATGATTCCCAAATCATTAACGACAAAACAAAGAATAAAACCAGGATTTCTATCTTTGTGAAAAAGGTGTTGGTTATAGATTTGTTGTTGACAAAACTCTTGTCTATTCAGCTGTTATGGTCCCAGCTGGATTCGTCTGCATATCTGGCAACCTGAGTCAGGGAGAGTGGGAGAGGCTGCAGTACCACTTTTGGCCACATGTTTACACACTGCTCCTTTAAATTAACATGATTTATACCTCCCCCCTGGACTGCCACCTCCCCCCTGGACTGCCACCTTAATGTGGTGGGGGAGTTTGAGTACTCGGATGATCCTGGGAGCTATGCTGTCTGGGGCTTCATGCCCCTGGTAGGGTCTCCCATGGCAGACAGGTCTCAGGTGACGAGTCAGACAAAGAGCAGTCCAGAAGACACCATGGACAGCACTAACACGAAAACAGTGACGTCGCCCGGCATGGCGCAGCCGGGGCCCCACCCTGGAGCCAGGCCTGGGGTCGGGGCCCGTATGCGAGCGCCTGGTGGCCGGGCCTTAGCCCACGGGGCCCGGCCGGGCTCAGCCCGAAGGGATGACGTGGGCAGTCCCTCCTGTGGGCCCACCACCTGCAGAGGGGTCCGTGGTGGCGAGGTGCAGAGAGGACTGGGCAGCGGTCGAAGGCGGAGACCTCGGCGACCCAGTCCGCACACACAACATCTGGCTCTTGGGACGTGGAACGTCACCTCACTGGGGGGGAAGGAGCCCGAGCTCGTGGGGGAGGTTGAGCGATACCGACTAGAGATAGTCGGCCTCACCTCCACACACAGCTTGGGCTCTGGAACCCAACTCCTTGAGAGGGGTTGGACGCTCCACTTTTCTGGAGTTTCCCGCGGGGAGAGGCGGCGAGCTGGGGTGGCCATTCTCATTGCCCCCCATCTCAGCCGCCACGTGTTGGAGTTCTCCCCGGTGAATGAGAGGGTCGCGTCCCTCCGCCTCCGGGTGGGGGACAAGTCTCTCATTGTTGTGACGGCCTACGGGCCTAACAGCAGTGTAGAGTACCCGGCCTTCTTGGAGTCCTTGGGAGGGGTACTGGACGGTGCACCGCCCGGGGACTCCCGTTATTCTCCTGGGGGACTTCAACGCCCATGTGGGAAACGCCAGTGACACTTGGAGAGGGGTGATCGGGAAGAGCGGCCCCCCTGATCTGAACCCGAGCGGTGCTCAGTTGTTGGACTTCTGTGCCAGTCGCGGTTTGTCCATCACGAACACCATGTTCAAGCACAAGGGTGTCCACCAGTGCACGTGGCACCAGGACACCCTAGGCCGGAGGTCGATGATCGACTTTGTTGTCGTATCATCTGACCTTCGACCGCGTGTCTCGGACACTCGGGTAAAGAGAGGGGCGGAGCTGTCAACCGATCATCACCTGGTCGTGAGTTGGATCCGCTGGCAGGGGAAGAAGCCGGTCAGACCTGGCAGACCCAAGCGTATAGTGAGGGTCTGCTGGGAACGTCTCGCTGAGCCCCCTGTCAGACGGACTTTCAACTCACACCTCCGGGAGAGCTTCTCCCAGGTCCCGGCGGAGGAGGGGGACATGGAGTCCGAGTGGACCATGTTCTCTGCCTCAATCGCCGATGCGGCGGCTCGTAGCTGTGGTCGCAAGGTCTCTGGTGCTGGTCCCGGCGGCAACCCCCGAACCCGGTGGTGGACACCGGCAGTAAGGGATGCTGTCAGGCTGAAGAAGGAGTCCTATCGAGCCATGATGGTTCGGGGGACTCCTGAGGCAGCTGTCCAGTACCGGCAGGCCAAGCGTGCCGCGGCCCGGGCTGTTGCAGAGGCAAAAACCCCGGACTGGGAGGAGTTCGGAGAGTCCATGGAGCATGACTATCGGTTGGCCTCGAAGAGATTCTGGCAAACCATCCGGCGCCTCAGGAAGGGGAAGCAGTTCTTTGCCAACACCATGTACGGTGCGGGTGGAGAGCTGCTGACCTTGACTGGGGATATTGTCGGGCGGTGGAAGGAATACTTTGAGGTTCTCCTCAATCCCCCCGTCACGTCCTCTGTTACAGAGGCAGAGGCTGAGGATGTTGGGGCGGGTACATCCATCTCCCTGGCTGAGGTCACCAAGGTGGTTGGTAGCCTCCATGGTGGCAAGGCTCCGGGTGTGGATGAGATCCGCCCTGATTATCTAAAGTCTCTGGATGTTGTAGGACTGTCTTGGCTGACACGTCTCTGCAACATCGCGTGGCGATCGGGGGCAGTGCCAATGGAGTGGCAGACCGGGGTGGTGGTCCCTCTCTACAAGAAGGGGGACCGGAGGGTGTGTTCCAATTATCGTGGGATCACACTCCTCAGCCTCCCCGGTAAGGTCTACTCCAAGGTACTGGAGAGGAGGTTACGGCCGATGGTCGAATCTCGGATCCAGGAGGAGCAGTGTGGTTTTCGTCCCGGTCGCGGAACACTGGACCAGCTCTATACTCTCCATCGGATACTCGAGGGTTCATGGGAGTTCGCCCAACCTGTCCACATGTGCTTTGTGGATTTGGAGAAGGCGTTCGACTGTGTTCCCCGGGGTGTCCTTTGGGGGGTTCTCCGGGAGTACGGGGTCCGGGGTCCTCTGCTGAGGGCCATCCGATCCCTGTATGACCGAAGCCAGAGCTGTGTTCGCATTGCCGGCAGTAAGTCAGACCTGTTCCCGGTGAATGTTGGCCTCCGACAGGGCTGCCCTTTGTCACCGGTTCTGTTCACTGTATTTATGGACAGAATATCTAGGCGCAGCCAGGGGTCGGAGGGGGTCCGGTTCGGAGACCACGAGATTTCATCTCTGCTGTTTGCGGACGATGTTGTCCTGTTGGCTCCAACGAACCAGGACCTGCAGCATGCACTGGGACGGTTTGCAGCCGAGTGTGAAGCGGCTGGGATGAGAATCAGCACCTCCAAATCCGAGGCCATGGTGCTCGACCGGAAAAAGGTGCCTTGCCCTCTGCAGGTGGGTGGAGAGGTCCTTCCTCAAGTGGAGGAGTTCAAGTATCTCGGGGTCTTGTTCACGAGTGAGGGAAGAATGGAGCGTGAGATTGACAGGCGGATCGGTGCAGCGTGCGCAGTTATGCGGTCGCTGTATCGGACCGTTGTGGTGAAGAGGGAGCAGCGTCTGCAGTCAGAGCTGTATCAGACCGTTGTGGTAAAGAGGGAGCTGAGCCGAAAGGCAAAGCTCTCGATTTACCGGTCAATCTTCGTTCCCTCCCTCACCTATGGTCATGAGCTTTGGGTAATGACCGAAAGAACGAGATCGCGGATACAAGCGGTCAAAATGAGCTTCCTCCGCAGAGTGGCTGGGCGCTCCCTTAGAGATAGGGTGAGGAGCTCAGTCACACGGGAGGAGCTCGGAGTAGAACCGCTGCTTCTCCACGTCGAGAGGAACCAGTTGAGGTGGCTCGGGCATCTGTTCCGGATGCCTCCTGGACGCCTCCCTGGGGAGGTGTTCCGGGCACGCCCCACCGGGAGGAGGCCCTGCGGAAGACCCAGGACACGCTGGAGGGACTATGTCTCTCAGCTGGCCTGGGAACGCCTTGGGGTCCCCCCGGACGAGCTGGAGGAAGTGTGTGTGGATAGGGAAGTCTGGGCGTCTCTGCTTAGACTGCTGCCCCCGCGACCCGGCAACGGATAAAGCGGAAGAAAATGGATGGATGGATGGATGGATGGATGATTTATACATAATTCGTAATGTTAAAGAAAAACAAACAAACCCATCATTCCAATGAGGCTTTAGATGTTTTTTCATGAGCTCAACAACACCATCAAACCATTGCCAAAACGTAAAGTTGCGTCCGGGCAAACTTTCCTGCGAATATAAAAAACAAGCCGTGTTGTTAGAATTCGGGCATGACTAAAGAAAACATACTCAAATACTTTACCCTGTTAAACTGGGCCCAGGTAATAGTCATGCTGTGGAAGTCTTCAGGGTTGTTACTGGTGCTGCTGAAGGCCTTTTGGGCCAGAAACACCAGGTTCTCCTCCGACAGGCCCCGTGAGCTGTGCATCTCCGCCTTGTACTTCATGTCCAGCGCCTCACACAGCTGCGGCCACTGGACTTTATCGGGGACAACGAAAGGCACTCGACCCTGAGGACACCACAGACACAAAAATATACAAAATAAGCAGTAGCTGCGTTTCTTAACTAGCTGTAAATGCTGTAAATGCTTCAATACCGGTCAAAAATATATATACAGTATGTAGTTGTGCAGAGTTATATACTGTACATGTAGGGCAGAATTACAGTCACCGCCGTCTCTATTGTTGTGAATGCAGTTAAGTGGCATTTTTAGTAATTTATGAATGAATGAATCAATTTATCTATAGAGTCCTTTACAAACATTTATTCAAACAATAAAACAGTTAAAAAGCATTAGTGTCACTGTGCTACTGAGTGTTAAAAGTGCTAAAATCCAGAATAAATACGTTTTGAGCATGGATTTTAAAAGGCCACAATCATTAAAAACAGGCATGTCAGAGGGCAGCTTGTTCCAGAGTCTGGTTCCAGAGACTGAGAAGGGCCGGTCTGTGGAACTAGTCCTTGGTTCTTCCAGGAGGAGATGATAAAAAAGTTGAAATGTATCTTACGGGCTCAGCAAAGGCATTGTCCCACAAAACTGTAGCGGTGGCGTTGTTGTCCTGGCTGCCGTGAACGATCACCACCACCGGCAACGATAAAGTCTGTGGAGCAAAGACCAGGGCAGAAATATTCACTCTCATCCTTCCACTTCAAACCGTAAGAATAAAAACATGTTATATACATATATTTCTATAAAAGTATCGGTAAATCGTTTAAACCCCGCCCCCAACCATTCACCCCTGTCTATGTACAGTATGTGTATATGTGTGTATGCCTGTGGGTATAAGTAGGTGTCTATATATGTACATGTATTTTATTTTTATTTTTATATATTTATTTATTTAATTTGTATTTTATTTATTTTATTTATTTTATTGTATTTATTGTATTTATTGTATGTATTTTATTTTATTTATTTTATTTCTTTTATTTATTTATTTTATTTTATTTCTTGTATTTATTTTATTTATTTATTTTATTTTTTATATATTTTTCTTTATTTATTGTATTTATTTATTTTTGTTATCTGTTTGTTATATCTGTATTTATGTTCACCATTTGATTTTTTTTAAAAAGTATCTGTAAATCTGCTGTAATCGTGACCTCTCTTTGTGAGGATCCAGGGTCATATCAAAGTTTTAAAAGTGAAACATGTTCCAGTGAGAGCAGATTCTTACCTTCACATGGAACACGAGCTCGTTGCCGCCGACACTAAACTGTGATTCAAAAAGCACCGTGAACTTCTCTTCTGTGACGGACTCTGCCCCGCGGCGGTCTGAGCGCTTGATCCTCTTCAGGGACTGTCGGAGAAACACAGAGAAAGGTCGATACAGGGCCTTGCAAAAGTATCTATACCCCCCGTTCCTACTACAAACATGAAAATATCAGATTGGCTTTTTAAGTGAAAAACAGTGTCACACAAATGTAAAGTGTCAAAATGATACCGGGCTTTTCTCTCTTTTTTGTACAAATGAGAAACTGAAAAGTGTGGTTTGCAAAAATATTCAGCCCCCTTTGTTTTGACTGCAACCAACTGTCTGTCTGTGTGCTGGCCTTTCATAAAGACCCAATCAAATATCCTACAGTTTGTGATTTTTGTGCTTGGGGTGTGATGCATTTGCAAGTCAAGGCATGAGCGTTAAATACCTACATTGTGAAATTGAGGATGGGTTTTTTTCTGCGGGACTGCTCAGTTTAGCAGAGTGGTGCAATGTTAGAGACAGAGGTCTTTATGAAAGTCAGTTAAAATTGTCAAAACGGGGCCATACAAGCTTTGCCACAGTCACAGGGAATCCCAGTCCATGGCTTTAGGAGGAACGTACAGTCATTTTTGGACACGTTATAAAACCACCGTGATTCAGATTCGGACATTCTTATAATTTGTATTTGTAGTTATTTGATCATTTACATTTGGTAGTTTACTTGTAATTATATTTCTGTGTGTATAGAAAATCAAACAAGGGCAAAAAAAGTCTTTCTAATCTTCTCTTGGTCTTACTTTTCACAGTATTTGGACTAATTAGGTGATATCGGATCATTTCCAAAGGCACACTGGTTGAAAAACACTGCTCTAACCATTGCGAGGCCCCTCCCCATTCTGCTGCCCACCGCACTAATACGCTTTGACCAAGACGGCTCATTACAGTGGGGCAAATAAGTATTTAGTCAGCCACCGATTGTGCAAGTTCTCCACTTAAAATAATGACAGAGGTCTGTAATTTTCATCATAGGTTCACTTCAACTGTGGGAGACAGAATGTGGAAAAACAATCCAGGAATTCACATTGTTATTTTAAAGAATCTATTTGTAAATTATGGTGGAAAATAATTTGGTCTTGGCCATAGTGGAGTTTGGAGTCTGACTGTTTGTGGCTGTGGACAGGTGTCTTTTATACAGATGAGATCAAACAGGTGCCATTAATACAATACTTAAAGAAGAAGTTACAGGTCTGTGAGAGCCAGAGATCTTCCTTGTTTGAAGTGACCAAATACTTATTTTCCACCATAATTTACAAATAAATTCTTTAAAAATCCTACAATGTGAATTCCTGGATTGTTTTTTTACATTCTGTCTCTCACAGTTGAAGTGAACCTATGATGAACATTACAGACCTCTGTCATTATTTTAAGTGGGAAAACTTGCACAATCGGTGGCTGACTAAATACTTTTTTGCCCCACTGTATATCTATACTTCTTGGTTCAATACCAAGAAGTCTGGTCTGTGGCACCTGCTCCACTTCTACAGTACGTCTCTAACAACAATAAGACTAAAGTGTACCATGTTTCTGAAGTGGGCGCTGAGGGTCCCCGTGGCCTTGTGATACTCCATCACACAGTTGTTGTTCAGGATCTCTCCGCTGCTTTCACTGGAAAAGCAGAGTGTGAAGCGTCGGCAGAGTCACAGCTGAAGCAGAGACTGTGGGACTCACCTGTGTGTGCTTTCATTTTTCAACAGAGCCTTGGCCTGCTGCTCGCTCACGATCACGGCTTTGACCTGCGGTGGATTCATGTGGACGTTCAGTTTTCCCCCCACGAGGAGCCGGACCGTGGCTGCAAACTTGGTCTGCGTCTTTAACACTTGTGGAGGCTGCTTTTCGATGATAAAAGTGCTAAAAACATTCATAGTAATTCTCTTAATGATTGTTGACGTTATGATAAATATTCAATGCTGTAGAAATGAGACCTTGTGACCAGGGCGGAGATGATGTCCGTGATGTCAGCGTTGAGTTTGCTCAGGAGATCCTCCATGGGCCCGGGCAGAGGCAGCTGCTGCGTCAGGTGCTCACAGCGGCGGATCTGCTGCCGGTTCTGCCAGATCAGGTCGGCCAGTTTCTCACACCTCAAAACAAGTAGTCACTGATGGTATTAAATATGAATGAGGGGGATCCACAAGGATGCATTCTGGGCCCTCTTTCACTACATTTATTCACATTATGGTACAATCTAAAATAAAACCAAATATTCACTTTCTTCTTGTTCTAAATCCCAACAGTGGTCACCTCAGAGGACTCAACAGAACCACTGAACTCACCAGATGACGCTGCAAAGGTTTTAAAGGTTAACTTGCTCTTGACCTTTAAAGTTATTACTGAATGTCTTTTACATCTTAAACTGTTTAATTTAAGAAAATGAATTGTTCACAAAACTGTTCTGTTTGTGTTAAATCATGGAGACCGTTGTTCAACTGGAACTCTGGCTCTCTGAACAAAACCTCATGGGACCAAAAACTGTTCTTCCAAGAAGGTGTTTAGATATTTTGAGCCCGAACATTTCAATTACTTTCAAACTTTTGTGTTTAGTTTGTTGTTGTGTTGAAATTATCTAAATATTATGTTTTATGGATAAAACATCACCAGGACTGGAGCACGTCCAGGCCTCCCTCGTGTGGGCCTCCGTTGCCGGCCAGCTGCTGTCTCCTCTTCCACTGGATAAGTTCCTCGTCGAGGATTAATGTCTGCTGTTTCCTCAAGAGAGCTAAAGTCTTCTGATGTTGTTCAGACAGATCCTTCGCACGAGCAAAACAAGTCAAGACATGAAGTAGACATAAAAACTACAGCTCTGTGTGTCTCTATGATGCAGAGCTCATGGGGAGAACTCACCAGTCGGTACTTCTGGAGCGTGCTGGCCTCTCTGGCGAGCCACGACTCCACTGTGGCTCTTTTACTCTGCAGCGTTGGCTCCCGCTGAGTGCGCTCTGCCACCGTCAGGGCGGACAGGCTGCTGATCTGAGCTGCAGACACACAGCAGCATTAGAATAATGCCACAGCTGTGTCTTTGTCATCTTTCTCAAACTTAGGGCTTCGAACGCAGGCAACACGATAGTTATTGTGTGTTTTATTTTATTGTAAAACTATAATAATGTCTGTAATGTGCTGTAGATCCTCAGTGGAGCATATTCTACAGAAAGACACAGCTGGGGATTGATGTGAAAAGTTGAAAAACCTCTAAGACCACTTGGATTCATTCAAAAGAAGATGAAAAAGTGCAGTATGAAGAAGCATTAATAAACAGATTTAAACCATGGGTTCAAAGCCTTGTGTAGGGTCAGAGTCGTGCTTCATGAATCGTACCTTGGATGCGGAGGTTCTCTTGATACTGAATGATAAAGTACTCCTGGTTGTGCTGAAGTTTCTTCATGTCATTCTCAGTCTCCTGCGTGGCCAGACGCAGCTCCTCAAAGGCCTGGTTGATCTGCTGATGTCGCTGGGACAGACTGTCCAAGGACTGACTCTCGGATCCACAACTCGCCTGACACAGAAAACCAACAAACAACTACCTCAGCATCACTGCTTCAAACACTCGTTATCTCATGTCAGAATTAAAAACAAGTTCTGGTGTTTACAAAAGTAAAAGCAGTTAGAAAGTAAAGTAACACTGTAAACTGCAGAGTCTTCCATAAACGATCATAAAATATTGAATGTTAAACATTATCAGCGTGTCCATGAGAGGAACTGATCGAGCGATAGGGATGTGAACCTGGAACACTGATCCAGGACAGACAGGACCTTTCTCAGCCCAAAGAATCATACATGTGACATACATGTGACATACATGTAACATACATGTAACATACATGTAACATACATGTAACATACATGTAACATACATGTAACATACATGTAACATACATGTAACATACATGTAACATACAAGTGACATACATGTGACATACATGTGACATACATGTGACATACATGTGACATACATGTGACATACATGTGACATACATGTGACATACATGTAACATACATGTAACATACATGTGACATACATGTGACATACATGTAACATACATGTAACATACATGTAACATACATGTAACATACAAGTAACATACAAGTGACATACATGTGACATACATGTGACATACATGTGACATACAAGTAACATACATGTACCATACATGTGACATACAAGTGACATACATGTACCATACATGTTACATACATGTGACATACATGTACCATACATGTGACATACATGTACCATACATGTGACATACATGTACCATACATGTGACATACATGTACCATACATGTGACATACATGTGACATACATGTGACATACAAGTGACATACAAGTGGCATACATGTGACATACAAGTGGCATACATGTGACATACAAGTGGCATACATGTGACATACAAGTGACATACAAGTGACATACATGTGACATACATGTGACATACATGTAACCACGGAAACCACCATTAAGGAATACATAGCGGTTTGTTGCCCGACAGAAAGAGTGTAGTTGTCAGTAACATTGTGAACAAGACCACAGCATGTGGAAACATCTTATCTCTGACACACTGACAGCTGATTGGCCGAGAAGAAGCTGATCTAAAGATGTGGCAGAGGCCAAAAATAAATCCAAAACTGAAAACTAGTGATAGATCCAAACGGTTTTGAGAGCAAGGAACTAGATACATGGATTTTATTACAAAGTATTTTTTCATGGTCTTAAATTCAGGTTTTCCAGCTTCTTAAGAGCACGAAGAAAACACTAATAATATAAATCATTCTGAATATTGTGGTGAAAAACACAGCGCCTCGTCAGGAAACATCTGAGCATGTGTGAAACATCTGAGCATGTGTGAAACATCTGAGCATGTGTGAAACATCTGAGCATGTGTGAAACATCTGAGCATGTGTGAAACATCTGAGCATGTGTGAAACTGCTCATGTCTGATTTACAGTTAGAGGCAAAGTCCCCTCTCCTCTTCTGCATGTAGACCGGGACCAGAGGGGTCAGACCAGAGGGGTCAGACCAGAGGGGTCAGACCAGAGGGGTCAGACCAGAGGGGTCAGACCAGAGTTGAACCAGACGATACAGAGCCCCCTCCCAGACCTCTCCCAGACCTCTCCCCGCCATCATAAAGCTTCAAACATACAGTATATCAGTGCATACTTGTGTTGTGACGGGGTCCAAACTCGTGAACGTTACTTAAAGGATTTGAAGATTAAGCGAAACTTGTGCCCACGCCTTCGTCAGCCTCACATCCTCTTCATCAACCCCCCCTCGCCTCTCGTCGTCTGTCCAGATTGAACGGTACTTACGCTGGTTGCATCTTGGACGAGCCTCTTCTCCGACTGCAGAATGTGTCGGATACAGCGCACCAGCTCCAGAGGGCAGCGGTCATACGTGCTCTGGAGACACGGACAGTTAGTCATCATTAAAGGGCTCTAATCTGTCATCATTAAAGGGCCCTAATCTGTCATCATTAAAGGGCCCTAATCTGTCATCATTAAAGGGCCCTAATCTGTCATCATTAAAGGGCCCTAATCTGTCATCATTAAAGGGCCCTAATCTGTCATCTTTTCCAGCCCCTAAATCTTATTGTTTTCATTTTGATGTCCCGCCCTCCACCGTTTCACCAATCAGAAAGTCTGTGATCCGGGCGCCAGAACTCACCGCGTGGAGCTAATCTCACTGGTAAAGTACCATGTGGCGCAGAACTAAAAAAGGTCTCGTTATGATTCTCAAATTATTAACGACAAAACAAGGAATAAAACCAGGATTTCTATCTTTGTGAAAAAGGTGTTGGTTATAGATTTATTGTTGACAAAACTCTTGTCTATTCAGCTGTTATGGTCCCAGCTGGATTCGTCTGCATATCTGGCAACCTGAGTCAGGGAGAGTGGGAGAGGCTGCAGTACCACTTTTGGCCACATGTTTACACACTGCTCCTTTAAAACTGGAGCAGTACGTAAAAATTTAACACATAACTTAAGTCTACCGTGGCACCTCAAGGGTTAAACATACCCAGGATTTTTCATTTATAAATAAACGTTTTCGGTCGACTCTGCCCCTCACCGAAGATCTTTTCCATAACACAACACCCACACCCTCATTAAATCGCCCTACCTTGAATTGGTTGGCATAGTGACCAAGCTTAATCTTCAGCAAGAATCCATCCTCTCCTCCCTGCAGCTGGGCCTTCTTCTGGAGCTCTGCCACCAGACTGTCCAACATACGCTTGGCTTTGACCTCCTCTCCAGGGGTGTCCAGCTCTACCGAGTCCCTGCAGTCCACACAGTCCTCTCATGGTAAAAAAAAACAAAACAACACGACAGCAGAGGAATATTAACAGAGAGATTTGAGAACCAGTGGAGCCTACCATAACTGGCTTTCAATCCACTGGGCCAAGTAGTGCCGCACTTCGATGGGAAAGTGCTGTCCGTAGAGAGCTTGCATCTGGTGTAATGCATCTCCCTGCAGCTGCTGGGCTTGGATCCACATCGCCATAGTGCCTCTGGAAACAACAGGATTCAATTTAGGATTCTTCTTTTGAACAGTGTGGGTCTCCCTGAGGTTTCTCACTTTTTTCCCACTGGGTTTAAGAGTTTTTCCTCTGATGCGGGAGGGTCTGTTGGACAGTTAGCGTCTAATAATAATAATATATCGCTCCAGAGGTGAGAAAGGAGAGAGTTCCAGAGGTGAGTGAGTTCCAGAGGTGAGGGAGGAGAGAGTTCCTGAGGTGAGGGAGGAGAGAGTTCCAGAGGTGAGGAAGGAGAGAGTTCCAGCGGTGAGGAAGGAGAGAGTTCCAGCGGTGAGGAAGGAGAGAGTTCCAGCGGTGAGGAAGGAGAGAGTTCCAGAGGTGAGGAAGGAGAGAGTTCCAGAGGTGAGGAAGGAGAGAGTTCCAGAGGTGAGGGAGGAGAGAGTTCCAGAGGTGAGGAAGGAGAGAGTTCCAGCGGTGAGGAAGGAGAGAGTTCCAGCGGTGAGGAAGGAGAGAGTTCCAGAGGTGAGGGAGGAGAGAGTTCCAGAGGTGAGAGAGTTCCAGAGGTGAGGGGGGAGAGAGTTCCAGAGGTGAGGAAGGAGAGAGTTCCAGAGGTGAGGGAGAGTTCCAGAGGTGAGGGAGGAGAGAGTTCCAGAGGTGAGGGAGAGAGAGTTCCAGAGGGTGAGAGAGTTCCAGAGGTGAGGGGGGAGAGAGTTCCAGAGGTGAGGGAGGAGAGAGTTCCAGAGGTGAGAGAGTTCCAGAGGTGAGGGGGGAGAGAGTTCCAGAGGTGAGGGGGGAGAGAGTTCCAGAGGTGAGGGAGGGGAGAGAGTTCCAGAGGTGAGGGAGGAGAGAGTTCCAGAGGTGAGAGAGAGTTCCAGAGGTGAGGGGGGAGAGAGTTCCAGAGGTGAGGGAGGAGAGAGTTCCAGAGGTGAGGGGGGAGAGAGTTCCAGAGGTGAGGAAGGAGAGAGTTCCAGAGGTGAGGAAGGAGAGAGTTCCAGAGGTGAGGAAGGAGAGAGTTCCAGAGGTGAGGGAGGAGAGAGTTCCAGAGGTGAGGGGGGAGAGAGTTCCAGAGGTGAGGGGGGAGAGAGTTCCAGAGGTGAGGAAGGAGAGAGTTCCAGAGGTGAGGGAGGAGAGAGTTCCAGAGGTGAGAGAGTTCCAGAGGTGAGGGGGGAGAGAGTTCCAGAGGTGAGGAAGGAGAGAGTTCCAGAGGTGAGGGGGGAGAGAGTTCCAGAGGTGAGGGAGGAGAGAGTTCCAGAGGTGAGAGAGTTCCAGAGGTGAGGAAGGAGAGAGTTCCAGAGGTGAGAGAGTTCCAGAGGTGAGGGGGGAGAGAGTTCCAGAGGTGAGAGAGTTCCAGAGGTGAGAGAGTTCCAGAGGTGAGAGAGTTCCAGAGGTGAGAGAGTTCCAGAGGTGAGGGGGGAGAGAGTTCCAGAGGTGAGGGGGGAGAGAGTTCCAGAGGTGAGGGGGGAGAGAGTTCCAGAGGTGAGAGAGTTCCAGAGGTGAAGGAGGAAAGAGTTCCAGAGAGTGGAGATGGCGAAAGCTCGGTCCCCTAAGGTCTGGTGCTTATATTTGACAGTGGGAGTGAGGAGCCCATGTGTGACATTGGTCTCTCCTATGGACCAACTCATATGTGTACAGTATATTCTGTGTCTAAACTGTTGATTCTCTGATCTGGTATTATAACATAGATTATTCATCTCTCGGCACAGAGGGGACACTGGTCTTCTTCTGTTTGTGGCACAAAATGGAGTCAGAGTAACGGCGAGAGTTGGCAGGGGCGTCCAAACATTGGTGTAAAGGGCCACTTTAGTTTACCTGGATTAAAAAACTGTTTCGAACTTTGAGCTTTAATAAAAAAATGGACGTTAGCTACTCAATTTTGTGCCACAATCAAAAACAGGTATATACAAAATATGAACTTATATAAAATACAGCAGGATATAACATACATATATTGGTAGAGCTGAAGTTGGCTGTATGACACTGTGAAGTGGTGTCTATGATATTGTGTGTTACCGAGGCAGAGGGCCAGATAACATGACACACAGGGCCGCATTTGGCACGCAGGCACGGGCAAACTCCGCTCAGAAAGACCCTGTTCCTACCGGGATTCGAACCCAGGACCTTCTTGCTGAGAAGGCCAGTGCGTGTAATTCATCATATTTAAATCAAAGCCACATTTACAACTAGTTTGAGCATGTGATTAAAAAGGGGGAGGGCATTAACTGCGGATCCAAGCTACAGGTTGTAGAAGCCTGGAATGATGCATCACGGGAGCGCTTTAAGGCCCAGCAAAACATGAACAAGTTTGACTAAAATTATTTCAATAAAGTAGTGACGCAGATCGTGCTGTACTGAAGTTTAGAGTACGAGCAGGATCTGTTCTCTCCCTCCCTCTCTCTCTCTCTGCGTTAGCTCACTTCTCTTCTGTTCATGCGTTTCACTCACATTCATGTACGCGGCACATCAAGCACTCCGCCCGGCCGCAGATTGTAGAAAAGTCCAGTCCGCTGGAGCGGGAGCCAGAGGCGGTCATGCTAAGGCTTCATGCTCCTTCCTCTTCTTCTGGAGCAGCTGTCAACCGCGGAAGTACAACATGCAGCGTTTCTCTCTGGGCTGGTCCACATCAGGCCCAGAGAGAGGCGCCGCGGGAGGCCGCTAGAGGGCGCCATCACACTGGGTTTGTAGCTCCAACATACAGGCTAAAGCTCCAACTCTAAATTATTAACCATAATGATGCATGTAACCCATTGAACCAAGCCCTAACCAGAGTTTGTTTAATTCTATTTTACCATTTTGTGTTATTATTTTAATTCTACTGCCTAGTATCTTAAAAATGTGTTATTTTTATTTTCAAAATAGAGATTTTATACTTGTTGTTGATGCTAGTGTTAGAGTTTTTGTTTTATTGTAATTAGTATAGCTATTGTTCACTCATCTTGTGCTGTGTGCTCCTCTTTCCTAATGTTCTATAACTTGTGATGCAACACTGAAATTTCCCCGCTGTGGGACGAATAATATACCCTGTGTCTGAGTCTAATATCCTTCTTTATCTGCCGTAGTGCAACGATGACGCTGACATTTCCTCACTGTGGGGCCAATAAAGAAATATCTTATCTCTTATCTTACAGTGGACCGTGTTTTATGTAAGGATAAATAAATTACCAATTTTCTTGTATGGCTCTGTGAATCATTTCAAGTTTCACAAACAGACTGAGTGACAAAAACACACTTTCTTCATTGAGAAAACACACGAGTCCTGAACATTAACTGAACAATCCAAAGTTATCTTATGTCTCTGTAATGTCTATGTAATCAAATATCATCCCAGGGGCCAATATCAGTCATTCTCGGGCCGCATCTGGCTCTCGGGCCTTGACTTTGACCCCCATACTCTAACTACTACCATGCAGCAACACCCACAACTAAGGAGAGAAACTTTATATTTTCATTGAATCACAGCGTGTTTAAATATGTTTATTATTGTTTGGCACTTTGGGGTTGCTCCAAAGTTTTCCGGGACCAAGGAACCATCAAGGACCGAACACAAGATACTTTGGGATTTGATTGACACATGCCTGGATAGAAATCTCCCACTGATTTGTGATTCTAAATATTTGAACTTTTCAGCTTTTCTAACCACAGTGTATCTCTGCAGGTGTTTATCTTCAACCTAACCTCATAATTCACGTCAATTATGTATACATCTAATTTTAAATCACAACTGGTGAAGGTATTCAGGAGGATTTTCTACTTCTGGGTGTATCATCAAGATTATTGGTCCTCCCAACTGTCAATCATTCCGGTGATGCGTGCTCGTCCAATAAGACCAGAGAGTTTAGTTCAAAAAGTGGAAAGGGGCGGGTCTTTCCTAAAATTTGGAAACATCCTCCTATATAGTAATTAATCATCTTCTTATAGCTGAAACTGTTGCTATGGCGATTTACTTTTTGAACACAAGTTTGCATGAAAGAAAAAAGAAAAAAGGTGAAATAGTCTCAAATGAGTGATCGAGATTTTATTAAGTGAATATCAAGCTAGTGGTTCAGCAAAGAATATACAAACAAACAAATGTGAAGATTGTTCTGTGCTTATCTGGAAGACAAAATTACATGTTTTTTTTTTATTGTGTGAGAAATGTGACCGCCTCCGATCATCCTGAGTCGCAAGAAGACGAGGCAGCACTGGGAAGGAGAAGCCTGGCCCTCACACCTGTGCTTGGCATCTGTGGTGGGTTTTTAGCACTTTGTACGGAGCTCTGGGCTCAGACAGCACCAGGAAGTGACTCTGCGCCCATATATGACCATGTGATCAACAAACACACTTCAATCCATCAAACAAATGCACACAGTGAATAAGAAGTGGACACTGGAGATGGGTTACGAACAGATATTCAGTGGGTAAAAGCTGAAATAGAAAAAGGCGGCTGCAGTCACGACAGGCCACAGACACAAGTGAACTTCAAAAACATCTATGTTTCATAATGATTGGAACATCTCTCTTTTTGGAGGTGATTAGAAGGAGTCAGGAACACGACGGGAATTTGTTTTGAATGTGTTCTCATTTTAAAGTAGCAATATGTAAGATTTTCATGTCAATTCATCATTAAAGGGCCCTAATCTGTCATCGTTAAAGGGCCCTAATCTGTCATCGTTAAAGGGCCCTAATCTGTCATTGTTAAAGGGCCCTAATCTGTCATCGTTAAAGGGCCCTAATCAGTCATCGTTAAAGGGCCCTAATCTGTCATCATTAAAGGGCCCTAATCTGTCATCATTAAAGGGCCCTAATCTGTCGTTATTAAAGGGCCCTAATCTGTCATCATTAAAGGGCCCTAATCTGTCATAAGGCATTAATTAAAACATGCTATTTTCCAAAACTTCTTTTATCTGATAAACGTACTTTTCCAGCCCCTACATGTAAATCTTGTTATTGTTTTAATTTCGATGTCCCGCCCTCCACCGTTTCACCAATCGGAAAGTCCGTGATCCGGGCGCCAGAACTCACCCCGAGAAGCTAATCTCACTGGTAAAGTACCATGTGGCGCAGAACTAAAAAAGGGCAAAACAAGGAATAAAACCAGGATTTCTATCTTTGTGAAAAAGGTGTTGGTTATAGATTTGTTGTTGACTAAACTCTTGTCTATTCAGCTGTTATGGTCCCAGCTGGATTCGTCTGCATATCTGGCAACCTGAGTCAGGGAGAGTGGGAGAGGCTGCAGTACCACTTTTGGCCACATGTTTACAGACTGCTCCTTTAAAGCTGGAGATGGAATGTATTTTATTGAATACTGCGTTTATTACTCAGGTTTGATCATTTTCTGTCACATTTTCTCTTTGTTGGAACTGTCGCTCCGTTCAGACACGTCTCAGAGATCTTAAATTGGTCATAGCTCATAATCATAGATAAGTGTAGTGTGTGACTAATCACTGTCTCTGTCCTGGTCTTCATCCTTCTGCAGCTCCTCGTGGCTGTCCTCTTCCTCAGGATCCCCAGCTTCTTCATCATGTTCCTCCTCCTCCTCCTCCTCCTCTCCTCCTCCGTTCATCATCTCCATCTCCACCTCCACGTTCTCGTCCTGCAGCTCAGCGTCCACCCCGCTGAAGGCCTCTCCATCCTGGGACACCTCGATCATCTCCGTCCCATGCACCACCTCCACCTCCCCCTCGCGGATCTTCTTGACGTGGAAGGTGAAGGGCGGCACCTTGTAGACCGCGGTCTTGGATCGGGCGTAGACCACGTGGTCCGGGGTAAAGGACTTCTTCACCTTCTCCCGGGACGTCTGCATCTTCTGCTTGCGCTCGGGGTTCACGGACATGCGTGTTCCCAGCTTCCCCATCTTCTTCTCAATGTTGTGGCGTGTCTTCTCCAAGTTCTCTTTGGTTTTCTGCTTGGTCTTCTCCAAGTTTTCTTTAGTTTTCTGTCTGGTTTTCTCGATGTTCTCCTTTGTTTTTTGCTTGGTTTTCTCAATGTTGTCTTTGGTCTTCTGCTTGGTTTTCTCAATGTTGTCTTTCGTCTTTTTCTTGGTCTTCTCCAGATTTTCCTTGGTCTTGGCCTTGGTCTTGTCCATCTTCTCCCTGGAAAACACGGTCTTCAGAGTTTGCACCCGTTGGAGGCTGCTGCGTTTGATGCGCTCGGCTCGCGTCTCCTCCAGAATGTCCTCCACGTCCACGGCCTCTTCGTCCGAGGACAGGTCGATGTGGGGTTTGTCGGTGCTCTGCCCGGCCTCCTCTCCGGGATCCTCCGCGGCCTCCTTGAGCTCCAGCATGCTGCCTCCCCGGCTCCCGGCCACAGACTCTGACGCTCTCATGGATTTGGAGACGCTGAGCCGAGACGGGAGCTTCACGTCGTCCTGTTGGAACAAAGATCAGAAGATACAGTTTTTCTCAGTTGCTTTGGTGCATTTTTCACATCAGACTTAAAGTTCTCATAACTATTAGTTCAACCTCCACAACATCGTGTCACTGGTGCACATCATCGTGGCAGTTTCTCATTCCTCTGAACACATTTCAAATGCTTTTGTTCATCTATCAGTTACTTTTATACAATTCTCTGCTGTTTTTTAATATGATCATTTGCTTCTGTCCTGTCAGTCAAAATGTAACTTATGTACTTATAACTTCTGAATAGTCTTTCACTCTAAAACCAATAGTCCTCATTTCATCGCTTTGGTCATCACACTCAAAACTGTTGAACTAGTTCTCAAAATCAAACTTCTTTCAATTTAATTTCATACATTCCTTTATCTATTTTTTTCCTGAACATTTCTCCTAAATTGAACAATTGCTCTCAGGTGATTCAATCAATCAGTCAGAGCTGAATCCCATGAACCCTCACTTGGCATATATGAACCAAGCAGGACATAGTGTGTATCGTTTCGTACAATTCTGTGACACAAACATGGAACATCAGCGTCGTGGAGGAAGAGTGAGAATCCGTGGAGGACGGGGAAGGGAACAAAACAGGGGCAGAGGAAGAAGAGGTGAAGTACATCAGCAAATTCCTGATGAAATTAGGGCTACACTTGTGGACCATGTTGTAAATCACGGCCTCACTATGGTTGAGGCCGACGTGTGCGACCAAATGTAGGGAGAACCACCGTGAATTCCATCATTCAGACATTTGGTAGGGAGAACAGGTATGTATAGTGTTGGACAGTAATCCAATACCTTGTTACTGTATATCTCATTTACTGTACAATACTATATTTGTACAAACTTGTTTTTTTTCTCCGACTCATAGGACTGCAAGACAACCTCACAGAAGTGGAAGGGGGCCTGTTTTCACTCCACAACAAGAGGAAGCCATTTGTGTAATGGTGACAGAAAACAATGCCATTAGATGGAGAGAAATTCAAAGCTCTGTTATAGAGGATGACAATATATTCGGGAATATCGAATTTGTTTCAATTTCAACAATTGACCGAGTACTGAGGAGGAATGAGATGCGCATGAAACAAGTGCCCTTTCAAAGGAACAGTGAAAGGGTGAAGGAGACCCGTCACCAGTATGTACAGGTAAAGCTTAAGTGTACGCTTAATCTAATTTTCATCACTGTAAACTGTTTTACAGTACTTTGTGTAGATTTAGTCCTGTATATTCACAGTAGGCTACATACTTTATATTATGATGTCAAAAATGCAAAAATGTTACATAAAGTTCTTACATTTTGTTTTTTCTCTCTCTCTCTTCTGTGATAAAGCGTATACTGGAGCTAGAGGCCAGGGAACCACTGCACATGCTCATTTATGTTGATGAGGCAGGTTTCAATCTGGCCAAAGGAAGAAGGCGTGGAAGAAACCGAATTGGAGAGAGGGCAACAATTGATGTTCCAGGCCAACGAGGGGGGATCATCACAATGTGTGCAGCCATCTCGGAAAATGGTGTCCTCGGCCATATCCCCCTTCTTGGTCCTTACAACACCCAACACCTTCTTGCGTTTCTAGACATTCTCTACAGAGCCATAATACCTGAGAATGAGAGGGGTCTAACTGGAGACCATCTGAGTAAATATGTCATTGTGTGGGATAATGTGAGCTTTCACCACTCTCATGTGGTCAGAGAGTGGTTTGCAGCACATGGCAGGATGGTTGAGTATCTCCCCCCCTACTCCCCATTCCTTAATCTGGTTGAAGAGTTTTTTTCTGCCTGGAGGTGGAGAGTTTATGACCGGCGTCCACATGCTCAAATGGCCCTTCTAGCAGCCATGGATGCTGCATGTGATGACATCACAGGGGAGTCCTGCAGAGGGTGGATTCGCCACTCAAGGAGATACTTTCCTCGCTGCCTTGCAAAGGAAGACATCCGCTGTGATGTAGATGAAAACCTGTGGCCAGACAGACAGGAACGCCTGGATGTCCAAGAATAAATTATTTAGTTTATTCCAGTAATATGTACTGTTGTATGGTTTACATTTGTGCACTGTTCTACCATAATGGTATTTCTTATGTTTGTTCTAAATACTGTGAGTATTTACTTTTTCTTTTCTTTTTTTGCACAATGCTGTGGAATCCAAAAGGCATATGCAATAAATGTGAAATACTTGCTTATGTGTCCTGTACTCAGTTACTTTGGGTTACTTTACTAAATATAGTCATGTGTAGCTTTACTGCAGTTTTCAAATGGCTGTTCAGTGTAAAGTGCTCACAGAGATCTGACTCTTATACATTGGAAACACATAATAGAGTAAACTTTTACAATGAAAACATGACTAAGTCATTTGACTGTCTTGTTCGTACTCAATGGTGTTGGGACTTATTATTTTGACGACACAGACAGTTTCATTGACCTGAAGACTTGCTTTTGAGGAATTAACTTTTCATTTTGAGTAGGTGAGGCACTTTTGCAGGTTATCCACCAGGTTTTGCAGTTTGCACTAATTGTTGTGAGAAATGCACCAACAGTTGTGCAAATGTGAAGAATGATGTGAAAAATGCACCAAAGCGACTGAGAAAAACTGTAAATGTCCTGCTGCTGCTGCTGATCACAAAGACGACGGGAAATGAAAATAAACGCATGGATTTAGAGCAGAGAAAAAAACGTACAGGTGCATCTCCACAAGTGACAAGTTTATACCATTTAGCTTTGTATGACGTTGAGATAGATAGATAGATAGATAGATACATAGATAGATAGATAGATAGATACATAGATAGATAGATAGATAGATAGATAGATACATAGATAGATAGATAGATAGATACATAGATAGATAGATACATAGATAGATAGATAGATACATAGATAGATAGATAGATAGATACATAGATAGATAGATAGATAGATACATAGATAGATAGATAGATAGATAGATACATAGATAGATAGATAGATAGATAGATAGATACATAGATAGATAGATAGATAGATAGATAGATAGATAGATACATAGATAGATAGATAGATAGATACATAGATAGATAGATAGATAGATAGATAGAAAGTAACTAACTACCAAAACATTACTGCATATTTTGAACTCTGACATGTTCGTTGTACAGTCTGACAGCCGAAAGAACGTTCTGTTATACTTTATTATAGAGAGACATGTCCTCTGCATTGGACCACCCTCCAGCTGCTGCACTGCCTCTGTCTGCAGCAGGGGGCGCCACAGCACAGCGCACGGACACGCACATGGAGACGTGGGGAGAACATGCAAACTCATGTTGAGGGACTAAGAGACGATTCGAACCCAGAGAGGGCTTTACTTTATCCTACTTTTGTCACTTTCTTATTTAGAACTTCTCATTTTGGTCGGGGCTGAAACCATAAAAGTCATTTCCTTTTCTTATAATGGTTTTTTGAAATATGAAGGTATTTTAATATGACTTTAATGTGACTTTAATATGACTTTAATGTGACTTTAATATGACTTTAATATGACTTTAATGTGACTTTAATGTGACTTTAATATGACTTTAATATGACTTTAATGTGACTTTAATATGACTTTAATATGACTTTAATGTGACTTTAATGTGACTTTAATATGACTTTAATATGACTTTAATGTGACTTTAATGTGACTTTAATATGACTTTAATGTGACTTTAATATGACTTTAATATGACTTTAATGTGACTTTAATGTGACTTTAATATGACTTTAATGTGACTTTAATATGACTTTAATATGACTTTAATGTGACTTTAATGTGACTTTAATATGACTTTAATATGACTTTAATGTGACTTTAATTTGTCTTTAATATGACTTTAATGTGACTTTAATATGACTTTAATGTGACTTTAATGTGACTTTAATGACTTTAATATGACTTTAATGTGACTTTAATATGACTTTAATGTGACTTTAATATGACTTTAATGTGACTTTAATATGACTTTAATATGACTTTAATGTGACTTTAATGTGTCTTTAATATGACTTTAATGTGACTTTAATATGACTTTAATGTGACTTTAATGTGACTTTAATGACTTTAATATGACTTTAATGTGACTTTAATATGACTTTAATGTGACTTTAATATGACTTTAATGTGACTTTAATATGACTTTAATATGACTTTAATGTGACTTTAATGTGTCTTTAATATGACTTTAATGTGACTTTAATATGACTTTAATGTGACTTTAATGTGACTTTAATGTGACTTTAATGACTTTAATATGACTTTAATATGACTTTAATGTGACTTTAATGTGACTTTAATGACTTTAATATGACTTTAATATGACTTTAATGTGACTTTAATGTGACTTTAATATGACTTTAATGTGACTTTAATGTGACTTTAATGTGACTTTAATGTGACTTTAATGTGACTTTAATATGACTTTAATATGACTTTAATGTGACTTTAATATGACTTTAATATGACTTTAATGTGACTTTAATGTGACTTTAATATGACTTTAATGTGACTTTAATGTGACTTTAATATGACTTTAATATGACTTTAATATGACTTTAATGTGAGTTTAATGTGACTTTAATGTGACTTGAGTTATTTTCTTGGTTATTTTTCTGAAAACAAAATGTGTTTATTGTTTAGAGTGAACCAAAACTGGATCAAATATGAAGTTAAACACATTTTATTTTGGACTTATTGGTCGCCCATTACCATCGGTTAGTTAACAATAATACAAAATAACTTTAGGGGCCACTAAAAATTAGCCTGGCTCCAGCCGACCTTTAGCCCCGCCTCCATGGAGTTTCTGCGGGCAGGTCGGTCTGGCATTCCTCAATGGAAAAAGTATTATGCCCGGTACGATACATACCGGGCCAGTCAGAGTGACAGGGCGGGCTTCATGTGATGGTTGACAGGTGAGCAACAGTAACGTCAGCATCTACGTCATCAAAGAGCGCCAGGGCAGAATACGTTCAAAAC